CTTTTTGGAAATTTGGCTATAAGCCTAATTTCAAAGTCCCGCAGTTTTCAATGCACCAACCTAATGGTTTTAAGTCGAAAACTCATTATCTCAGATTCTATATTCAGAAATGTATTTCTAATATCATTTCAAACTATTTTATTCTTGCTTTAGCTTGATTTGACCAAAATTTCTTTTCGAACACCCAAAGCCACAAGTTTTTCCCGATTTCTCGAATATTTCAAAAAGGTTAAAGGAAAGTTTTGAAGGAAACTCATCATATTAAAAGATAATGTTTTTAAAAAAGCTGTTTAAAAAAAGGATGTTTAAATATAAATTATCCAATAGATTTCTTAAAAATCATAGATATTTCTGGGAAAAGCCGAAAAAAAGCTTTTAAATCCCGATTTTTCCAAATGAGAAATGAGTTTTGTGGGGCTGCTTTCGTCCGTAATTATTTGAAGAAAATTTTCTCATTAACATCTTTTTTTTCCTTTTTTTAGTAAGCTGAATAATTATTAGAAAATATATAATACAGAGTGACCAAAAATAACCCAGACAAACCTTTTTAACTCGATCTTCATGAATCTAGAGCTCCATGCATCTAGAGCTCCATGCATCTCGATCTCCATGCATCTAGATCTCCATGCATCTCGATCTCCATCCATCTCGATCTCCATGCATCTAGATCTCCATGCATCTCGATCTCCATCCATCTCGATCTCCATGCATCTAGATCTCCATGCATCTCGATCTCCATGCATCTCGATCTCGATCACCATAACTCCATACAGATGGACTAGATAAGAATACTCTTTTATAACCTTAAAAATCGTTAATTATTCACTCTTAGTAAATGAAATCCAAAAGATTTTGGTTCTAAGGTTCTGTAAATTCTAAGAGTTGAAAGAAGTGGGCTACTTGAACGGCTATTTGAGCTTTGCTTTGCTCAAATAGCCGTTGCTTTTTCAGCACAAACACCGTTCGTTCTCGAAATGCAAATGTGGTATTAAATGAATTCTCTCTCCATATTCTCTCTAATCGTAGTGCACCGCGCCGAGCGGAGTTGATGACTATTTTACGGTTTCCGGGTTCCAAGTTTTGCACAGAAGCTCAACACTCAAATCCCCCACTAGATCTCATCCTCAGCTACATTTTCCGACCCCACATCGATAGGTTCTCATAAGCGGTTCTCGAGATTTCGAGGAATTTAGACAACGCTCAGTGTGCACCACTATTAGAGAGAATACAGTATTATTGCTTTCTACCCATCTGTAGAAAAGATTTTATTTTTTCAAACGCTTATACCTCGCTTCAAAATGATCGTAGGAAAAAACTAATTAGAGATTCGGAATCAGCGTGATCGATTTGTGTTTGTTCAAAAATTTCGTCAAAATTTCTCACTATATTTTCCGGATTTTCCCTTGTAAGAATGTCTAATTAACGATTTTTAAAAGTATTCTTTTAATTTTTTCAAAAATTCGCGGTTTCAAATTTAAACCGCGGTCAGGGCCCAGAAGTGGCTCATTCCTTTTGCAAATTCCCTTTGCTTCCGATGCCTCTTTATCAAATTCATTTCCCGTTAGAGCCGCTAGATTATGGAACTTGCTCCCAAACGACATACGAGAAATTCAGTCGCTTTTCATATTCAAGAAACGTATCGATGCTTTAGATCTAGTGGCTCTTTGCCGTAAGTAATTGGCTTATTGATTTCAGTATGTATTGTATGATTAAGTATCACTGGGCATTTCTCTATGATTTCTTTCACTTTATCGTTTGAATAAAGTATTATTATTCTTATCTAGTATATATGAAAATTAAGAAGGACAAACAGGGCTGGTTTCGGTTTGCGACAGATTCTGTGATCCGCTAGATTCAATACCGTTCAATACTCTCTAATAGTAGTGCACCCTAAGCGTTGCCTAAATTCCTCGAAATCTCGAAAATTCCTTATGAGAACCTATCGATGTGGGGTCGGAAAATGTAGCTGACGATGAGATCATGTGAAAATCGTATCAAAAACGTTTCTCTGAGTTATTTCTGGTCATCTTTTATATAGAAAATCTATCTATTGAAATGACAAATAAAGAAAAGATATTCAGTTAATGGAAAAATGAAGAAAAAAAGAGTTTTTCCTATCCAACACATGTGATTTTAATTAGCGTAATGAAATGAGAAAGAAAATTTGCAAAAAAGAAATAGGGAAATTTCGGGTTCTTTTTGAGTTAAGCTCAAATTTCTAAAACGCAATTTTTCTAGCGCACTGAATTCTTCTTTTCTCGCAAAATACAGAGGAAACGATTGCTCTAGAAAGAGTGCGTTTAAAAAAAGTACAAAATTCGAGCACAAAGTACACAAATCCAATGCTCATTTCGTTGGGCGATTTAGGGAAAAATTTTTCTTTTGGTTGAGTGAGTGTTTTTTTTTGGGGGGGGAGAAAATTGGGGTTGAAGGGGAGAATTAATGAAACGCCTCCAGTCAATCCAATCTCATTTATATCTTTTCCCTTTTCTTTTCAAGAGAATCCACTTTTTAAGGTTCCTAATTAGTCTGTGAGGCGAAAAACGTATCAACTTGCTTTTTTTTTGAAAATCTTTAACTTACCAAAAACATTTTTGAAATCTACTTTGGCACTTTGTAAACGCCGGCCTTCTGGCGCACTGAATTCCTCATTTTTCACGATTGATATCCAAGGAGAATTGAATTCCATGCACCAGAAGGCAAGCGTTTATCGAAAGAGTACAAAGTACACGATCGTCTCGATGGCTCAGTGCGCCAGAAGGCGAGCGTTTATCGAAAGAGCACAAAGTACATGATGTTCTGAATGGTTCACTGTGCCAGAAGGCAAGCGTTTATCGGAAGAGCACAAAGTACACGATGGTTTGAATGGTTCACTGCGCCAGGAGGCAAGCGTTTATCGAAAGAGCACAAAGTACATGATGGTCTGAATGGTTCACTGCGCCAGGAGGCAAGTGTTTATTGAAAGAGCACAAAGTACATGATGTTCTGAATGGCTCACTACGCCAGAAGACGAGCGTTTATCGGAAAGTGAGCACAAAGTACACGATGGTCTGAATGGCTCACTGCGCCAGAAGGCGAGCGTTTCTGCGAGAATAATGAACTTGAAGCCATTTTCAGAGCCTATGAAGCCTTAACCGATGAAAAATGCAGAATTCAGTGCACTAGGAGGCGTGCGTTTGTTCAGGCACAAAGTACACGCTTTTCAAAGTTCAAACTTCTAATTTTTACCGTTTAATTTTTTAAGTTGATATATGAAAATAGGCAAATTTTCAAATATAGATCTTCTAAACTCACAAAATCCCAGAAGTAAATATAAAGGGTAATAAAAAATGCTGAACATGGGGGAAAAAGGGAAAAGGAAAAGCTCATATGCAATCATTATCCCTTCTCCTTATTCTCCTCATTCTACGAAGGCCATTATGTAAAGAAATGTAAAGAAAAGGAGCCTTTTTTCCTCATTATTTGTTCTCCTTTCATCATCTTAGTTATGCAAATTAGACTGGAGTACCCGAGGATTCGATTCCTTCTCATATCTTTATATGTAATCTAGATCTACCTTTGAGAAATGTTTTAGCGACTTATGGACTTATGGAAGGAGTCTGAAAAATCTATGGAAGAGAGTGAGACTCGAACTTGCAGAGGCAAAGAGTGTAGATTCGATAGACTAACAGACTATCCACTAGACCATTGAGGTAATCGTGGAGGTGGCAGCCTTATAAGGAGTCAAACAGTCAAACAAGTCAAACAGTCAAACAGTCAAACAGTCAAACAAGCCAAAAAAAGCCCTGGCTAAGTCAAAGCTAGGAATTGGAAAGGTTTTTTGGGCAGCTCTATGTCCAGAGTACAACCCAGACAGTCTTGGAGCCGGTAAGCAGTAAAACTAGAGGATAAACTCAGTCTAGTTTGACTGCGAACTGTCTAAGGTTCTTCTGACTATGAATATAAGTTTTTAGGCTAGAATAGGCTTGATTTTGACTATGGTTTTTGGGAGAGTTTAGTGAGATCAAGGAAAAACTAAACTAATTTGAAATAAACTAAACGAAAAACTAATTCCGGGATTGCCGTGAAGGGATTTTATAAGAATGAAGTCTTGTTTAGAAGCTCAATCGCAAAAATCAATCGCAATCGCAAGTACAATCTGCTTCAGCAAGGAAATGAAAGAGTCGATGAATGAAGGTGAGTAGGTATTTATTGGGTTTGAAGAAATGGAAGGGAGAATGGGTACATCGGTAGGTGGAAGACCCAGGTGGAAGACCTGGGGCTGTACAGTACAGGGTGACCAAGAATTACCGCAACAACGTCGTATTATGTTATGAGCCCCATTTCACTTTTTTTGTTTACCTGTTTTTATGGTTTTTATGGTTTTTGTGTATTTTTCTTATTTTATAGTATGATTACTAACTTTCAATACATTAGTATCATTGTTTTCAGGAATGGTAAAAGCGTCTCCACATCGACAATCGATCCTTGATTGTCGGCAGCTCAAGCCGACGCTCGACGCTCCCGACGCTCCCGACGGAGCTCAAGATCAATCGATCCTTGAGCTCAAGCGGCAGCGTGTTCAGGCGAGCGAGATCACAAAGCACACTCTACGCCTGAATGTCCCCAGAAGCCTCGTTTCTCGAACCATTCAACGTTATGAAACTCTGGGCACAGTTTCTGATGGAAGAGGTGCAAAACGAACAGCGGTTACTCCAGCTAATGTCAAGAAAGTTCGCGATCGTCTAAGATTAAACCCTAGCTAATCTCGAGGAATGGCACAGAAAATGGGTCTGAAGAGAAGCTCTATCAACACAATCATCAAGAATGTAGATCAAGGCTCAAAACCAGAACTAGATAGCACAAGAAAAACAATGAGTACCTAACAATTGAGTCCACCTATGGAGTCCAGAAAGGGGACGTTTATTTGAATTTTTTGAATTTGAACTCGAAGAACAGAAGGCTTGAGAAGAAAAGGTGTTTTTTATTGAAAAAAATAATCCTTTATTTACAGTTATTTAGGAGACATGAAGCACGTTGACACCGAAATTTCCATTTGGTTGCCAGACGGGAGGTTGTATCGGATTCCCACCACCGCTTTGACCACCGCTTTGACCTCCCGTGTTGATCGGATCAATCACTCCACCTAAAAAAGAAAACTCAATAGTTTATTGGAAAGAGTGTACTTTAAACTACTGTACTTTTACTGTACTTTAAGCTACTGTACTTTAGTGTACTTTAAACTACTGTACTTTTAGACTAAAACACACCATTATTCCCATTGTTTCCAGGATTGATAATTCCCGGTGATAACGGATCTCCATTGGCGATTCGAAGGAGCTGAATGATGTTGATTTTCAAAAGATATAGACTTGAAAAAATAAATACATAGTACTTATAGATCACTTTTTATATAGATACTTATAGATCATTATATAGATAACTTTGTAGATAACTTTGTAGATAACTTTGTAGATAACTTTATGGATAACTTTATGGATAACTTTGTAGATAACTTTATGGATAACTTTGTAGATAACTTTATGGATAAATTTGTAGATAACTTTATGGATAACTTTTTAGCCCACCTGATTGAGCAATGTGCGCTTATCGGGTGACATGACGGAAAGCGTTTGCTCGATTGTACTGACTAAATATTTTGCAATATACTGTACAGATCTCTAATTGAATCGTAACATATAAATCTAGAAGTGCCTAAATGCTTTAAGAATCAGTTCACCAGTCTCAGATTTTAGCTCAATCAGGCCAAAAACCAGCTCGGCTTAGGCTTAGGCTTAGGCTTAGGCTTAGGCTTAGGCTTGGACTTAGTGCGAAGGCTAGCGGCTAGCGCCTCGCACTAAGTCTATTTGGGTTTGGGCTAAACCCCCGTTTTCTCAGGCTCAGTTAGGCTTAGGCTTAAGCCTAGGAAGGACCCGGTTTTGAGCTAGGCATTGTCTAAAGTATTGCACAAATGTTAACAAAGAAAGACACCGAGTCGAGCTGGCCTTTTGATTTTTCTATGCCAGATATTCTGCAAAATCTAAAAACGGATTTTCGGCCGATTCTATAACGGACTTGGTTTCAAGTCAAAGGCCAGCTTGAACCAGTAAGCTTAGGCTTGAACTTACTTTGACCCTGACTGGCTGACAGAGCCTGGTTCTAGTTCTAGCTCTTGGCTTGAGCTGGTCTGATCTATGCTTATCTAGGCCTAGCAATGGCTGGCTTGGCTTGGTCCTAACTGACCTTACGCTTGCCCATAGCCTGCCATGGCCTGTCCTTGGTCCTAACTGACCTTAGGCTTGGCTTGGACCTAACTGACCTTAGGCTTGCCCGTAACCTGCCTTGGCCTGGTCTAGCCTATCCCTAGCCTCATTAGATATATTATCATGTATCTAATGAGTCAATGAGACAATCTTCTCTTTACCAATCTCATTCGTTGTAGCCGAAGTGTTTGTCTGTAAAGCGAAGAGGTTTTGAAAAGCCAGCTGCATCTCAACCAAAGTCGTCACCACTTTGCCTATAAATTTTGATCTAGATATTGATATTTTTCTAGTAAATTATTTCTTTTCAACTCACTCTGCAAATTTTTTGTAGCGCTTTGCTCTCGGGCCACAAAAGCATTGTATTGATCCTGAAAAGTATGAAAATCGTGGTTTGAAAATTTTCCTTTTTAAAACCAACAGTGCAATTATTCAGCTGTGCCCATTGCACGAGTTGAGCGTCCCGTTGTGAGATCGTTTGATTCGTCTAAAACAATTTCAAGTTTCAAGTTCATTTTCATTTCAGTTCAATTCCAGCTGCTAAAGATCCTATAGATCCTAGGCTCAACTACAGTTTGCTTCATTTTTCCCTCAACTACATTCTTCAGGCTTATGGCTTATGGCTGAATTTTTGGTAAAAAGAATTTTTCAAAGTAGTCATTCTACATGTTTCTAGAAGCCTTTGTAGGCAAGGCGTTTGATTGCCGAGAAACGAAGCTAGAAGCGTTCCATTGCCTAGAAGCGAAGCTAGAAGCATTTCATTGCCTAAAAGCGAAGCTAGAAGCGTTCCATTACCTAGAAGCAATGCTAGAAGCGTTTCATTGCCTAGAAGCAATGCTAGAAGCGTTCCATTGCCTAGAAGCAAAGCTAGAAGCGTTACATTGCCTAGAAGCTAACCTAGAAGCGTTTCATTGCCTAGAAGCAATGCTAGAAGCGTTTCATTGCCATGTCTATTAGTCACCATTAACATAATCTTTTAAAAAACTTACTTGAGCAAGAATGTTAGCGAATTGTTGTCTAGCTTGTAGGGATGATTGTTGCACAAAATCAGGTAGGGTTGAGAAAGTGTTGCCAAAGGTTTGTTTCTCGAAATTCCCATTGTTGTTTGGAAAGGGTTGATTTTGATTCCAATTGTTTGGATTAAAGGGTTGGTTTGGGTTCGGATTGGATGCACCTCCAGAAATCGCATTTTGTTGGCTAGGATCAAATGGTTGAACTTGATTTGGATTGAAGTTTCCATTGCTATTTGGATTGAAGTTTCCATTGTTATTTGGATTGAGGTTTCCGTTGCTATTTGGATTGAAGTTTCCATTGTTATTTGGATTGAGGTTTCCGTTGCTATTTGGATTGAAGTTTCCATTGTTATTTGGATTGAGGTTTCCGTTGCTATTTGGATTGAAGTTTCCATTGTTATTTGGATTGAGGTTTCCGTTGCTATTTGGATTGAATGGTTGAACAGGGATTGTGACCGGATTCACGGGTCCAGGCTGATTTCCGGGATTGCCGTTTTGCTGGTTTTGCTGGTTTGGATCTATATTTGGGTTAAATCCGTGAAAATCTCCATCTTGAGTCTTCCAATTGTTGGGATTGATTGGTTGAACTGGATTCGGATTGAAGTTTCCATTTGAATTTTGTTGATTTGGATTGAAAGGCTGAACGAGATTGTTTGAGTTGTCTTCTGGATTCTCATTTTGTTGGTTTGAAGTCATTTGATTGGGCTGATTTGAATTGAATGGACTTGGTTGAGGTGCTGGATTGTTATTTGGCTGAATCGGGTCTGTTTCCGGGTTGAATCCGCCGAAATTCCCCTGTGGATTTGGATTGAAAGGTTGTACCGGATTTGGGTTTAAAGATTGGCCTCCAGAATTGAATTCCCCTTGTTCATTGAATCCTTGAATCAGATTGAATGGTTGTACTTGATTTGTATTCGGATTCAAGTTCCCATCGTTATTTTGTTGATTCCAATCTTGTTGATTGAATTGATTCGGGTTGAATGGAGGATTCGGATCATTGTTTGAAGTAAATCTACCAGAATTCCCATTTTGTTGATTTGAATTGAATAGCGTTTGTGCTTCTGGACTGCCGTTTTGTTGGTTTTGGCGAAATGGCTGAAATGTACAAAAAAGAATGTCACTGCTACAGTACAAAGATCTGTTAAGGGAGGGGACTGTAAGAATCTCCTCCATTAACAGATCTTGTAAGAGTCCCCTCCACTAGCAGATCTTGTAAGAGTCCCCTCCATTAACAGATCTTGTAAGAGTCACCTCCACTAACAGATCTTGTAAGAGTCCCCTCCACTAACAGATCTTGTAAGAGTGCCCTCCATTAACAGAACAACTTGTAAGAGTACGGTAGGTGTACTGTAAGAGTACAGTAAGACATATGTCAGAGAATGCTACAGTACTCTTCATTAGTTACTGTAGGATAACGGTAGTTTGTCTAGAATACGATGGCTTTTAGAAAAGGATGCTTAGAATACGATGGCCATTCCACTAACCGTATTCGCTCCAATTGCCGAGTTAATCGGGATTCGAAAAGCAGTAACGAAACTAATCAATGCATAGAAAATAGTATACATATCTAAATGATAAATCTAAAAAAATCGAAATAAATCGAAATAAATCTAAATAAATCTAAATAATAATCCTTGAAATAAAGCTTAAATATTGTAGGTTATTGGGGGAATTTCGTGGAGAGAAAATTTGTGGAAAATCATCGTTTATTTGTTCAGCTTTCTATACAATTTCTCTCATTTTATAGATACGATTTTTTTTTGAGTTAGAATAATGAAATAATCTTGTACTATTTAATATCATCAACTTCAAGTGCAATACAATTAAAAATATAGATCATATTTTTTATAGACTACAGAATATACTGTATTCTCTCTTATAGTAGTGCACCCGGAGCGCCGCCTAAATTCCTCGAAATCTCGAGAACCGCTTATCAGAACCAATCGATGTGGAGTCGGAAAATGTAGCTGACGATGAGATCTTGACGATGATTAGAGAGTTGAGCTTCTGTGACAACTTTGAAAGCCGTAAAATAGTCATCAACTCGGCCGGGTGCACTACTATTAGAGTAAGCAGCGCTCAAATATCTTTCCAAAAATAAAAACATCGAAGCCACAGCCAATAAGTGTTGTCTACTATTTGAAAGCCCTGAATCTACTCTATAAAATAGTGGAAAAAGGTTTTGAATTGGATTAATTAGTGAAGAATTAGGTGGCTTTTAAGTTGAAAAGTTAAAAATGACCATTTTCTGTGTTTCTGGTAATGCCGGATAAAAAATGCCGCTAATTAAAGTTCTTTCAAAATCACATAAAAAGAAAAGAACTCCTTTTGCTCCACCTGGCTGCTGGTCTTCCGATGGGCCTCTTTTGATCTCGTGGTAGCCACTCTGTGATCCGTATCGTCGATCTGTCGTCTGTTCTTCTGGCTACGTGGTCGGCCCATCTGAGTCTTTTTCTCTCGATCACTTCCACTGGATCTCTGAGTCCCGAGAGTTGGCGCATATCCGTACTTCTTAGGTCTTGGTCGAGCTTCGTCTTCCTATTGTGCCCGATGAGGTTCCTTTCCAGGGCTCGATGCGTCGTTCTCAAGGCTCGTTCGGTGTCCTGGCCTGGCCAGGATCAGGACACAGACCAGGTCTGTGTCCTGGCCCAGGTCTCTGTCCCGTAGCAGAGTGCCGGGAGGACGGTGCTGTCGAAGAGGTTTGCCCAAGTCCTCTGGTGATTCTTGAGTATCTTTGTGACTTCTTTGATGCTTCCTAGTGCTGTCCAGGCCGCTCGTCTTCTTCTGGCGACTTCTGGTCTTCTCGAGCTGGCGCATATCCGTACTTCTTAGGTCTTGGTCGAGCTGCGTCTTCCTATTTCTTCCTAGAAGCGCAGCCTCTAATAGAAGCAATTTTACAGAATAGAAAATAGAAGCGCCTTCTATAAATACATTAATTAACTTTAAAAAAAAACTCTTTTTACCAGAATTAACTCTAAAAAAGTATTAATGCAGAAAACGATGAAAAAAAGAGGGTTTTTAAAGGCGCCAATATTAAATTAACTTTTTTTCAGCATCGTGGATAGCATTATTTTGTAGTCTTAGGGTTATTAAAGTTATTAAAAAATGTTACAGTTCTTCTATTCTATGTAGATTTTATGATTAACTCTTTTTTTAAAGTTTCGTTTAATGTATTTTCTTGAAAAGAGGAAAACAGGGTAAACTGGGTGGCTTTATTTGTTTCTTTTTCACACTTTTTCTTCAAAAACACCTAAAACTAATGCGAAAAATGAGGATTTCAGTGCGCCAGAAGGGTAGCGTTTACAAATTTAACATCATATACTCATTTTTTGTCGACTTTTTTGCTTTACAATGACTTTTTACGACTTTTTTGCTTTACAGATTTACTCTTCTATATGTGCTTTTTAGCTTTTTAGACTCTGTAAACGCATCCCTTCTAGTGCACTGAAATCTTGATTTCTCTTAAATCTCCAACTGTTTACCAGATCCTATGCGTTTACGCTTTCTAATGTTCTCTTTTAAGTGGGGACTTTTTGTAATGGGGATTTTCTGTGTTCCAGATTGCTTGCATTTAAGCCAAACGACGAACCAAAGCCACATTGGCCAAACGAAGAACTCTTCAATATGTGCTTTGTGCTCAATTTCATAAACTCACTCTTTCTAGTGCAATGGCTTCTATTTTCCATTGCTTTGCTGTAAGAAAAATGAAAGATTTTAGGGCGCCAGAAGGATGAGTTTACAGTTTTCTTTTTGAGATCAGAACAGGAACCGTATTGGAACCGTATTGAATCAGGATAGGAACCGTATTGGAATCGTATTGAATCAGGATAGGAACCGTATTGGAACCGTATTGAATCAGGATAGGAACCGTATTGGAACCGTATTGAATCAGGATAGGAACCGTATTGGAATCGTATTGAATCAGGATAGGAAGGAACCGTATTGGAACCGTATTGAATCAGAACAGGAACCGTATTGGAACCGTATTGAAACCGTATATCAAAAAAAAAGAAAAGCTTCACTCTTCGATGTGTTTATTTCAAAAAATCTCTTTTCTTTTACTTTAAAACAAATAAATAAAAGAAAGAGTAATAAAAATTGTACTTTTTTCGAATCTAAAATGATAAGAAAAGAGGCAAAAACAATGAGCAAATTGGTTTTTTAAAAAAAAGCTACCAGATTTTCATCACCAATTTTTTTTTGTAGCTGGTTCCCTCTGAAGTTTCCCACAGGATAGCAGGAGTTTGTATCAGTTACCGTATTTTCACTAATAATAGTGCACCCTGAGCGTTGCCTAAATTCCTCGAAATCTCGAGAATTGCTTATGAGAACCTATCGATGTGGGATCGGAAAATGTAGCTGATGATGAGATCTAGTGAGGGATTAGAGTGTTGAGCTTCTGTGAGAACTTTGGAAGCCGTAAAATAGTCATCAACTCGGCGGGGTGCACTACTATTAGAGAAAATACGGTATATTCGGTAAAATTAGAATGATTAGAGGAATTGGGGGCGAAATGCTCTCTTTCTCTTTTGCTCTTCCTATTCTCAAACTTTCAATGGGTATGATGTTGCAGTTTCTTTAGTAAACTGTGAGCTAGAATGAGAGCTCCTAGTGGGTAAGCAGCTTGCATTTTTGTTCTGTTCTGTTCAGTTCTGCTTACCAGTTCTGTTTACCAGTTCTGCTTGCCAGTTCTGTTTACCAGTTCTGTTTACCATTCTTGGCAAGCAGAACTGGCGCTTGTGGGATGAAGAAAACGTTAGTTTAACATAACTAAATATTTTAAAATAACTAAATAGTTTAAAATGAAACAACAAAAACAACAAAAACGCATTTCTTCTAAAGCACTGAATCCCCATTTTTCTTTCCAATGAATTGAAAGATCTCTGTGCACTAGATGGAAAGCGTTTACAGAGTTTGAGCACAAAAAACAATAATTAATTTCTTAAAAGAAAAATGACACGTATGATGGGACCAAAAAATTCAAGAAAGGCAAGAAAAATGAACATAAAGAACTCACTAACTAAATCTAATCTCTTAAATTTCTAAAATCCTATCTAAACTATTCAATATTTATTGCAGATCCATCATTCTCGTGATCACTTTCGGATAAAGATGATGCTGAGGTGGAGTTGTTCGATCGATTGTGCTGAAATTTTGAGAGTTTTCTTTCTCAATTTTCTCAGGATTCGTTAATCCAATCAATCTCTATTTGATATCATTAGAAAGCCTGAAATCTCCTCTTTCTAACCATATATAAAGTTATGAATAATATTATCTCTAAGTGAAGTTATAGACTATCAAAGATTGGGTACTCGTTTAAAAAACCTTTAAAATTTTTTTAAAATTGGATTTGATCCTCTGCTCCAGGTCGTTCAAACCAACTTTATTTAGTATCATTAGAAAGCCTGAAATGCTCTCTATCTAATGATATAAAAAGTTATGAATAAGCTTATTTCTGGGAAAAGTTATAGACCGTCAAACGGGTACTCGTTCAAAATGCCTAGATTTTATTCAAAAGACGAAACTTCTTATATCCAATGTTTCTTATCTCTAAATTTCTTATAATTATAAATCTAACCATATATAAAGTTAAGAATAATATTATCTCTAAGTAAAGTTATAGACAATCAAAGTCTAGCCAGTCATTCAAAAGCTAGCTCTACAAAGCTGGCTCTACAAAGCTGGCTCTACAAAGCCAGCTCTACAAAGCCAGCTCTACAAAGCCAGCTCTACAAAGCCAGCTCTACAAAGCCAGCTCTACAAAGCCAGCTCTACAAAGCCAGCTCTACAAAGCCAGCTCTACAAAGCCAGCTCTACAAAGCCAGCTCTACAAAGCCAGCTCTACAAAGCCAGCTCTACAAAGCCAGCTCTACAAAGCCAGCTCTACAAAGCCAGCTCTACAAAGCCAGCTCTACAAAGCCAGCTCTACAAAGCCAGCTCTACAAAGCCAGCTCTACAAAGCTGGCTCTACAAAGCTGGCTCTACAAAGCTGGCTCTACAAAGCTGGCTCTACAAAGCTGGCTCTACAAAGCTGGCCTTAAGTTAAAGGCTTTTTTATAAAACCAACCACTCCATTCTCGTTTTTGAGTGTTTTGGGATAAGGAATCTGTTGAATGAGTGGCTCTGGATCGAGTTTCGCTTTTCGATTCGGTGATGAATTCTGAAATTTAGCATAAAACTGTCTCCTCCAATGCACCCGCAACCTCTTCCTCTTCCTCTTCTTTCTCTTTCGATTCTTCCCTAGATCCATTCACATTTTCCACTTCTCGTTCTTCATTTCCCTGAACCTCTTCAACTTCATGTGCCGCCACAATGACCGGATCGTCGACAACGGCTTGCCCGATCGCTGCGATCACATCCACTTTATCATCAAACCATCTGCAAATTTTGGCTTCATAAGGCTTCATTATCAATTATTAAATTGGAATTTTATCGAAAACTGATGCCTTTTGCTGTCAAAACATTCCAAATTGTTGTCTTATTCCCTTTAAATGTAAAGATATTCAGTTTACTCGACGTGTAAATTGGATTCCCTCGTAGTTACTCGGCGAAAAATGTCGATAAATCGAGTAAAAATCACTCATGCAAACTTTACTCGAGTAATTACTTACTCGAAAGAACATACTCTAGACGTTTTTGGTCGAGTAACTACGAGGGAATCCTATTTACACGTCGAGGAAATTGAATATTACATTTAATGATTACATTTAAAGGAAATTTCCGTCAAATCAGTTAAACGGTTTTTTTCAACTCATATGCATCAAAATCTAAAACATTTTCCCACTATAGAACTCTTTAAATAATAGATAAGGATAGATACTCCGAACTAGGGTTCAAATCCGAACTAGCATTCAAATCCAAACTAGCGTCCAAATCCAAACTAGGGTTAAAATCCAAACTAGCGATCAAATCCAAACTAGCGTTCAAATCCAAACTAGCGTTCAAATCTAAACTAGCATTCAAATCCAAACTAGCATTCAGATCCAAACTACCATTCAAATCCAAACTAGCGTCCGAACTTCACATGTAACTTCACTTTAAGAATCTATAAGTGTTGCTCTACAAAATGACACCAAAATCATTAAAATCGGCTCACTAGTTTTGAAGATATAAGCACTTAAAGTGGCACGGTCAAGGGTTTACTTCAGATTCGGATAAGAGAGATAAATTCAATTATCTCATATAAGAGAGATAAATTATGCAAATTATGCAATTATGCAAGCTTAATGACATCGAAAAGCAAATGAAAATTCGTAAAAAGCCCTCATTTTTGAGCTTTTTCGAATTTCGGGTACTGTAGATGGGCAGGAATCTTGTGTAAGATTGGATAAATTGACGGAATTGACGGAATTGACGGATAGAGCGGATATTTGTAAGGTTACGGTTTTGGTTTTATTGATTGATCATTGATTATTGATTTAACTCACCGATTCTCTTCCCTCTCTTCCCCAATCGCTTCTTTCTCTTCGGATTTTCGTTCTTTCTTTTCCCTCTCCTCATTTTCAATGGATAAACGACGATTTAGAGCGTTTTGCTCTTCGATTTGTTTTCTTTTCTTTAAACTAAAAGCTTTTAAATTAGGGTTTAAATTAGGTTTTAAATCAGGTTTTAAATTAGGTTTTAAAGAACTGTGGCACTGAACTGATTCTTTAACAATTCGCTTGTTCTTTAGAGTGTAGTTTGTGCTGATTTCTTGTAAACACACCCCTCCTAATGCACTTGATTCATTTTTCTCACAGAAACACTAGAAACTGAAGAATTGAGTGCACTAGAAAGTGTGCATTTACAAATATTGGGTTGTTCAGTTATGAATGCGCGTTTTTACTATTTTGATATCGATATCGAACAGATGTATATGAGTGTTATATATCATTCGAAAGCTGAAGATCTCCTCTACATTTTGATATAAAAAGGTTTTGAATTTGTTCAGCTTTTGGGCAAATTGACTGCACGAAAGAAGAGGTGGCCAAAAAATGGAAGGGTGCCTTTGGATCAAGTTTTGGCTCCACTCAAATTGAGTTAACCGTTTAATGTTTGGCCAATAGATATAACAATACAACCTTTTTTAAAATATAACAATTTCAGAGCATCTTTTCTTTTCTGGGCGGTTATTTTACAGCATAAAACTTGAGGAATAGCTAAGCTGAAATGGGGTTTTTTTGGAAAACGACCCCTCTCTTTGTGCAGTCAATTTCTCAAAAAGTTGAATGAATTCAAAAACTTTTTTTGATTCCAAAATGTAGAGGAGATCTACAGCCTTCGAATGGTATATAACACTCACCGTAAATACTGTAATAGTACCTCACTCCCCCCCTCGTACAGTCGCGTAGTCGCAAAAGTTTTTTTAGTATTTCATTTTTTTGCAAAGCGCCCGTACTTTCAAAAAATACGTTTTTGGTATCAAAAAATAGCCCTGAATTTCAGCTATTTTTTGATACCAAAGCGCGCATTGTAGCATAAACCAGTGTCGAGAAAAACGCGTCCAAAGCTAGACTACGCGATGCTCCGGCCGTCATTTTGGGGTACTATTACAGTATTTACGGCATATACATCTGTTCGATATCGATATCAAAATAGTAAAAACACGCATTCATAACTGGACAACCCAATAGCTTTTAAATTAGATTTTAAATTAGATTTTAAATTCTTTTAAATTAGCTTTTGAATTCCTTTAAATTAGCTTTCAAACTGCTTTAAATTAGCCTTTAAATTGTCTTTTAAATTATCTATTAAAGACTAACTTCTAAATATCTATTAAATCATTAAATTCTAATGAATCTCTCACCGCCAAATGATCGCCGTGATCAGCGCGGCTCCTCGACCCGATCCGTCCCCAGTTTGGACAATTTTAAACTAAAAAAAGATTTGTTTTAAACGATCTAGAATACATTCAGAACACAAATACAAATTGTTCATCTGCAAATTTGCTATTCATATTATTTTTGTTTTGCTTTTTTTCTTACGTCAAGTCCCGGATCGACCAACTCGCGAATTTTCTCGTTTACCCAATGCTCAAAAAAGGGATGATATCTGCAAAAAATTGATGAAAATATTAAAAAGCTATCAAGATATTCAAATTTCTATTTTATAACTTCTATTTCTATATACTTTTTATAGAAAGATTACTTATACGTCGATCCATCGATGCCAATAATCATTTTCGGGCGTTTCACGCGATTCAGAACACAAGCGATCGCTGAAAATGATGATTTTTTTTGGTTTTGATCGATTTCAATGTTAGATACACCGTATCGTACAAATTCCCGTCAATTTAGGCTATCAGAGATTTGATATAGGACCCGCCCCTTTTCTCATTGGCAATGAAACTTTGAGCCCAAATTTCTTGATGTTGAGCTGTTAAATTGAAATAGTTTTTGTACTAATCGATAGAGAAAGACTTGGCGCATCTAATGATACCAAGAAGATTGAAATTGGACCGATCAACACCGAGATATTTGAGCTCAAAGTAGCAAAATGGCAAAAGGGGCGGGGCGTGTATAAAAGGTCGCCCGGTCCCGCCTCTTTTGCCAATCCAACCTGTCACCGCCCCCTTTGCCAATTCAATCTGGCAGCACCCCTTTTGCCAACCGGCAAAGGGCGGGGCCAAGGGACCGGGGCGACCTTTTATATACGCCCCGCCCCTTTTGCCATTGGCAACTTTGAGCTCACCAAGATATTTGAACTTTGCGTTCAAATATCTTGGTGTTGAGCTGTCCAATCTCAATATTCTTGATATCATTAGATTCGCCAAGCTTTTCTCTATCGATTAGTACAAAAACTATTTCAATTGAACAGCTCAACACCAAGATATTTGAATTCAAAGTTTCATTGCCAATGGCAAAAGGGGCGGAACCACAAATGTTTCACAATCATCAATTTCTCGACCAGAATTCTATTCTCTGCCTATCTACAGTACCCGAAATTTCAAAAAACTTAAAAATCGGTGTCTTTTTATGAATTTTCATTCACCTTTCGATGCCATATCAATTATTTAAATCACTAGACAAAATTATCCGCACAGTTTTTTGAAAGCTAGTTTTCGTACGCTTAATTTATTTCAAAGTATCAAGTGTTATATAGAGAATTGTGTTATATGGGCAGGGATCTAGTGCTGATTCAAGCGCTTGTTAAATGAGTTCTATAAGTCCAATCGGAAAGTTTTTCATAGATAAATGTAGCCAAGATTCAGGGCTACAATTCCCTATATAACACTTGATACTTTGAAATAAATTAACCGTACGAAGACTAGCTTTCAAAAAAAACTGTGCGGATAATTTTGGAAATTTCGGCTAAACCCACAAGCAGCTGCTAGATTGGCGGCTCTTCTTGACACAACCACACAAACTTCTCTGAAAAAAGATCCCTCTCATTTCTAGTTTTCTTTATGATCTACCTAAACAATAACATATCAGAAAAGGTGTAATCATCAATGCCCAATTCGCCCATGATTTGTCGAGTGTGTTGATACGAACCACAATCATCACTAAAAATTTTGATATTGAACAATTTCATTGAATTGACACTTCAATTGACACCACATTCAACAATTTCAGCTTCGAACTGATATTATAGTTACAATTGTTATTATTGGATGATTTGTCTATTCTTATGTTCTCCCCTGTGCTTATCCCTTTCATCGTCGAGAAGGGACGATCCTTGGAGCCTAAGAGGAGTCTAGGAGGAGCCTAGGAGTCTAGGAGGAGCCTAGGAGGAGCCTAGGAGCCTGGGAGGAGCGTAGGAGCCTGGGAGGAGCCTAGGAGGAGCCTAGGAGGAGCCTAGGAGCCTAGGAGGAGCCTAGGAGCCTAGGAGGAGCCTAGGAGGAGCCTAGGAGCCTAGGAGGAGCCTAGGAGGAGCCTAGGAGCCTGGGAGGAGCCTAGGAGCCTGGGAGGGAGCCTAGGAGGGCCTAGGGAGGAGCCTAGGAGCCTGGGAGGGGGCCTAGGAGCCTGGGAGGAGCCTAGGGAGGAGCCTAGGAGCCTGGGAGGAGCCTAGGAGCCTGGGAGGAGCCTAGGAGCCTGGGAGGAGCCTAGGAGCCTGGGAGGAGCCTAGGAGGGAGCCTAGGAGCCTGGGAGGAGCCTAGGAGCCTGGGAGGAGCCTAGGAGCCTGGGAGGAGCCTAGGAGCCTGGGAGGAGCCTGGGAGGAGCCTAGGAGCCTAGGGAGGAGCCTGGGAGCCTGGGAGGAGCCTAGGAGCCTGGGAGGAGCCTAGGGAGGAGCCTAGGAGCCTAGGAGGAGCCTAGGAGCCTAGGAGGAGCCTAGGAGCCTAGGAGGAGCCTAGGAGCCTGGGAGGGAGCCTAGGGAGGGGCCTAGGAGCCTGGGAGGAGCCTAGGAGCCTAGGAGGAGCCTAGGAGGAGCCTAGGAGCCTAGGAGGAGCCTAGGAGCCTAGGAGGAGCCTAGGAGGAGCCTAGGAGCCTGGGAGGAGCCTAGGAGCCTGGGAGGAGCCTAGGAGCCTAGGAGGAGCCTAGGAGCCTAGGAGGGAGCCTAGGAGGAGCCTAAGAGCCTAGGAGGAGCCTAGGAGGACAAGTGAGGCTCTCACTTGGAGTCCCCCTGCCCTTTCACTCATTTGATACATCGTACTCCTGTAAAAGATACATATCTTCCGGGTTCAGGTCGATCATTTCACAGGGACTCTAATACGTTGGAGGAGTTGGGTTGGGTTGTCGGGGTTTTAGAGATGGCAGGATATCAAAAGGGATTCACAAAAGGGATCTCTTTAACAAAACCCAAATTCTAGTCCATATCCGTTTACTCCTAGGAAAGAACAGACATAATTCAATCTTAAACAAATTTTATATGCTTTTGATGCACTAATTCTTCATTTTTCTCACTCTGCAGCGAGAAAATAAGAAAACAAACGCACGCAGAAGGAGTGCGTTTACAAATTTTAACACAAAGTAAAGTTCATGAAGTAACAAAGTTCAAAAGAAACTGCACTTACTGTAGAATCTCTGAAATATATTTCGTCGGAAATGTGCCAATTGTGAAGAGAGTTTCGGAGCCCATTCCATCGAATAAAACCTGGAATTTTAAATGAATAGTTTTCAAGCTCAGCCAACCTTGTGCCTTGTTAATTTCTCTAAAACCAAGCGCACTAATTCACCCATACACATCCCGGCGATCAGCTTGTCCAATCTAAAAATCCATGTAGATCAGATTGATTTGATTTGATTTACGAGGTTACCGGACATTTGATACGCCCTTTTCCCATTGCCATAACTTTGAGCTCAAATTTCTTGGTGTTGAGCTGTCCAATTTCAATCTTCTTGTGATCATTATATTCGTCAAGTGTTTCTCTATCGATCGGTACAAAAACTATTTCAATTGAACAGCTCAACACCAAGATATTTGAACTTAAAGTTATGGCAATGGCAAAAGGGGAGGGGAGTGTATAAAAGGTCTTTCTGGCCCCGCCCCTTTTGATAATCTAACTTTGAACTCAAATATTTCGGTGTTAAGCTGTCCAATTTCAATATTCTTGTAGAGCCAAGTCTTTGTCCTTCGATTGGTACAAAAACTATTTCAATTGAACCGCCAAACACCAAGAAATTTGCGCTCAAAGTTAGATTGCCAATCGCAAAGGGGCGGGGCGCGGCAAAAGAGGCGGGGCAAGGAGGCCGAGGCGACCTTTTATACGCGCCCCGCCCCTTTTGCCATTGGCAACTTTGAGCTCAAATATCTCGGTGTTGAGCTGTCCAATTTAAATCTTTTTGGTATCATTAGATTCGTGAAGTCTTTCTCTATCAATTAGTACAAAAACTATTTCAATTGAACAGCCAAACACCAAGATATTTGAGTTCAAAGTTTCATTGCTAATGGCAAAAGGGACGGGGCGCCTATCAAATGTCAAAGTAAAACAGTTAACGACTACACGACTGTACGCTTTAAACGTTGAGCTGTTGCTAAACAAAGATCTTCAGGCTATGGGTCTAAGATCTAAGCACCCTAGAATCTAGAACCTAATGAGTTTATACTTCTACTTATTTAGTAATACAGCTATGTCTTGTAGTATCTTTCCGGCCCTGTTCCAGAGCTTTTTAACAGATTCGCGACGTCATTTTGAGCGTACAGTCGCGTAGTCTAAGAAAGAACTAAGAAAACCTACGGCTTAATGCTGAGTTACAGCTGAATTACAGCTGAACAATAGCTGACGAAAACTCACGAATTCACTCCGGGATGATCGGATCGTCGATCAATGATTCGATCGTATTCGGTGAAAATGTAATCAGCCTCGCCACGATCGCCAAATCCGCCCCATTCTGTGTCGATGATCATCTAGAAATTGAGAAAAGTCTCAGATATTTCTTTGAATCTCATCTTTTAGAAACCTCAACTGTTAGAAAACGAAAAAGATTGGGAAAAGCTCTTTAATGGCTCTTTAATGGCTCTTTAATGGCTCTATAATGGCTTTTCTATCTGTTACAATGACTTTTCTATCTGTAACAATGACTTTTCTATTGCCATCTCATCCTTTTATCTACCTGTTTATATGGATACGGTTCGGTGGCCTTTGCCACTCCATAGTGGATATTTTTCGTGTGTTCCATGTAGGAGGCGTTTGTGCCAGTGCCTGAATTCAAAAAACCTTTTTCAAATTACATTTTACAATGGCTTTACAATGGCTGAGCACAGTCGCTAATCGGTGCTGAGAAAAGAAAAGTTTTGGATTGACTTTTGCCTTGTGATTCATTTGTCTAAAACTCACCAATGATCACTCCAACATCACATTGTTGTCCTTTATTTTGATAGGCGGCAGCAACCATTGTGCCCACTGTATCATTGATTAGTGCCATGATTTCCACGTTTATTCGCTAAACAAATGAAAGTAGAGTAGCTGAGTTATTTAGATATAAAGCTAGAAAAGCTAGAAAGCTATAAAGAAAGCTATAAAATTACTATAATAACTGCAAAAACCGGTAAAAAATCGCTTCTAAACACTAATAGACAAAAAAATTATCACCTTTTCTTCTCCATCTTTGAAAAGCTATAACTCCAAGTCTTTCCATTGTAGACTAAAAGTGTTATAGTGATTCTGAAAGCTTAAAACAAGCTCTATAAAATGGTGTATTTGTTTTTTAAAATTATTTCAATTTTTAAGACATTTCGTGATGCGCAAAATAGGGTTTAAAAAAACAGCATTTTACCAAAAACACTCCGAAATGTGTCAAAAATTGAAATAACTTTAGAAAGCGAATACACCATCTTATAGAGCTTGTTTTAAGCTTTTAGAATCATTATAACACTTCTAGTTTACGATGGAAAGACTTAGAGTTATAGCTCTTCAAAGATGGAGAAAAATTCGCGAGGTGATGTCCAGTACTGTGGCTTTTGGTTGGAACCAGGGAAAGCATGACTTTTCCTGACCTGGCCTGGCCTTAGCTGGCCTGGCCTGGCCAGCTTTCAAAGAGCTTTGAGAGCTCAGAACTTTCAGAGCCTACCCCATCTCTTTTGATCGCTTCCTCAAGCATTTGTACAACATCTCTTCCCACACATCCCGTCGCCGTCACTCCTTTTGTCCATCTAGAATTTGAGATTAGATATACTGTAATTAGAAATCGATAAATAAAAGATAAATTCCCAGTGTTTACCTCAACAATGTAGCTGATCGGAGACTTGTTTGATCACAAGGATATGAAAAAGTGAAACCAACAGGTAAACCATCTTGATCGACACCTTTTTCAATCAAAAAGTCGGCAAGAGCTTTAGCAATGAAATCGAATAGCTGAAAATGAGAAAAGTGATGTAAAGTGATGTTCATAACGTGTTGTTTGTGCTTAAATTTCGTAAACAAATGGGACATGGAATGGGAAATCCCTTCTAGACATCAGAAATCGGGGGTGAAATCGAGGCGGTTCAATATTAGCCAAAACTTTTTACCAAAACAAGTTATTGCTCTAATTCTTTTTACATTAAATAGAGCTTCTTTTAGGCTACATTTTGACCTATAATACTTCTCAATGTTTTTTGGAATTAAACGAGAAAAACGTGCTTGACTTGTGGCCGACTGGAAAGGCTCATCGGGCGGTCAAACGTATTTATTTCGTTGATTTACAAGATGAATTTTGCTATTTATTATAGGTCAAAACGTACGATTGTACTATTACTGGACTTGAGTCGCTTATTAGACTATTGTAGTTCCTGTTAAAGACAGTCTTGTCCCTAAAAAGCTTCATTTTCAGCCTCTCCCCAATCCTCATTCTCTACCATTGACATATCCAGGGCCACTCTCTTTACAAGGGCAAATCATCGAAGAAAAGCCGGTGAGGATTACTGTAGTTGTAGGTATTTGTATATAGCTATAGCCATAACTGTTTACTGTGCCTAGAAGATGCTTTATATAATGCAAAAAGAAATAGATCAATAAGTTAGATCAGTAAAATATTTTTGGCCAATTTCGTCCAATCCGCCTCGATCCGCCCCGATCTGCCTCGATCCGCCCCGATCCGCCCCGATCCGCCCCGATCCGCCCCGATCCGCCCCGATTTCACCCCGATCCGCCCCTATCCGCCCCGATCCGCCCCGATCCGCCCCGATCCGCCCCGATCCGCCCCGATCCGCCCCTATTTGCCCCGATCCGTCCTTGTCCGCCCCGATCCGCTCCTATCCGCCCCGATCCGCCCCGATCCACCCCGATCCGCCCCTATCCGCCCCGATCCGCCCCTATTTGCCCCCGATCCGTCCCTTGTCCGCCCCGATCCGCTCCTATCCGCCCCGATCCGCCCCGATCCACCCCGATCCGCCCCTATCCGCCCCGATCCGTCCTTGTCCGCCCCGATCCGCTTCCTATCCGCCCCGATCCGCCCCGATCCGCCCCTATTTGCCCCGATCCGTCGTTGTCCGCCCCGATCCGCCCCCATCCGCCCCGATCCGCCCCGATCCGCCCCGATCCGCCCCTTTCCTCCCGATTTCCTATGTCTAATCTCTTCTAATCCCATTGAAATCCGCATTTTTCTCGCAGCAGATAAATCGTGACGCTTCGGTGTCACGATTCACCAAATCAGTGCCCCAGAAGGGGTGTGTTGCTCAAGAATTCGAGCACAAAGTACTCACTTGTTGCCCCGTTCCGTGTTGTGCCCAATTCGGCATCCTTGTATTGAATTGTTTGCATCGCATTTCTTCTCCCGGCTCGATTTCCATGATCATCACGCGAAGATTCGTCCCACCCAAATCCATCGCCACGAATTTACCCCTTTCTGGATTTGGAATTGAATTTTTGAATCATATTGAAAAATATTGAAAAAGGAACATTTAATAAATCTAATATTTCAATTTAGTACTCTTTTATAGTCACTACTTTACTATACTACTCTTTTTTAATCTCCATTTGATTCATTTACCGTCTCAAATTCCTCAAATTCCTCAAATTCCTCAAAATCTTCAAAAAAAGCTCAATTTAGTCTTTTTGGTAACGTTTTTATACATTTCAGACTACATTATTGATATACTAAATCAACAAATCATTCAGAGAATCAAAGAAAAGAGATGAACTGTTTGAAGATCCTGGAATGACTTCAAGCGTTTGAAAAAATGAAGTCTTTTCTACAGATGGGTAGAAAGCAATAATACCGTATTCTCTCTAATAGTAGTGCACCCCGCCGAGCCGAGTTCATGACTATTTTACGGCTTCCAAAGTTCTCACAGAAGCTCAACACTCTAATCATCGTCAAGATCTCATCGTTAGCTACATTTTCCGACCCCACATCGATAGGTTCTCATAAGCGGTTCTAGAGATTTCGAGGAATTTAGGCGACGCTCAGTGTACACTACTATTAGAGAAAATACGGTATATGCTTTTTTTTATGCAAGCTTTTTTTGTAGCAATTAGTAGCTATAAGCTATTAGCTATTGGCTATAGGTAAATATCTTAAATTCTACAATCCGAAAATCTTACCCGATCCATCGGGCATTTCAGGGACAAACGAGGGTAGCATAGCAATCGTACTTTTTGAGAGGCCACCTTCTAGGCTGAAATCTCGAGAATCTAGTAATCTAATGCACTAGAATCTAGTCCTGAATCTAGTGCACTAGTTTAAATCTGTAATTAGTGCACTAGAAAGCCTCGTTTACAGATTTAAACACAAAGTACACACGAAGCAAAGCATTCACTTACCCTCGATCCATATCATCGCTCATATGATGCATCATTCGTTTTAAAGTATTGTTTGAAAGGCGAAACTCAGCCATCACTGATTCTAACTAAAAATAGAAGAAAATAAGCTGGTTTGGCTTAGCTTGGCTTGGCTTAGCTTAGGTTGGCTTAGCTTAGGTTGGCTTAGGTTGGCTTAGCTTAGGTTGGCTTGGCTTGGCTTAGCTTAGCTTGGCTAAGTCTTTTTTATATATTTACTTTAGTTTTTCTCAAAATCCTCACCGAAATGAACTCCTCATCAGCTAATTTTGCTCCTCCCGCCTGTCGCTTTAAATCTTTCGACACGATTTTCGCCACATCGTTTGTACTCGTCTAAAATTACAATGAATTTTCATTTTCTGATATCATTCGGCTTTTTCTTTCCATTAAAATCTAAAACATTTAATAAACTATTGATAATTCAGGCTACAGTACACCTTTACTGTACTTTTCAGACTGTAAACTTACCGTATACAGTCTGAAGACCTACAGTACTGGACAATGAAATATCATATTTGAAAAACGATCATCACGTTCGCACGTAACTTCCTTGTCTGTAACTCCCTTGTCTTTTAGTTTAAACTATTAGTGTTATACATTTTCTGAAAGCTCTTTTCATGGGCTACACAATGGTAATATTAATATTTAGAAATACGATAAAGACAAGGGAGTTACAGACGCGCGAAAGTGACGATCGTTTTTCAAATATGATATTTCATTGTCCAGGAGTGTATATCTATTACAGCTAATCTAGCTATATCTATAGCTAGATTAGCTGTAATCCTAGCTATATCTCTAGCTAGATTACGGTCTTTTTTCAGCTTAAACTAATTTCTCAATTTCCTAATCATAATTCATTGTTTTCTAGTAAAAATTAGTTAGATTTTGGAAAGAATAAATAAAAATGAAGAAATGAAGCTGGTTTTCTTTGATTTTAAGCCATTTGAAACTAGTTACAAAACCAGAAAATCCCGATTCTGCCTCAGGAAACGCGTGTCGCAACTTTGCAGCGCTCTAGCAAAAGTTTAGAAAATTTTCTGAACAAATCCAGAAAATATATTGCATAAGGAAGATTCAATTTGGTAATAAAAAAAGAATTAGGTTGATTGATTAACTCTTTGCTAAGCTGTAGAAGCTGAACTGAGTGCGGGTAATTGTGCGGGCTTTTAAACAAAGGTTTAGCTCTAGAATATGAAAAAAACAAAAGGAGTTTTTTCTTTTATGTTATTTTGAAATAACTTTAATTGGTGGCATTCTAACGTATTCTAATTTCTAATTTCTAATGGAAAACCCGAGAATGATCATTTTTGAAACAAATTTTTCAGAAAATGATCATTTTTAGCCTTTCAACTTAAAAGTCACTCAATTCCCCAATAATCAATGCGATTCAAAATCTTTATGCATGATTTTATAGGGTAGATTCAGGGCTTTCTACAGTATACAACACTTTTTGGTTAAGGCTTGCAAGCTTTTTATACATTCATCTGTAAGAACATAGAGAAAACAAGCGTCGAAGTTGGCCGGTCAACCTGCAGAAGCCGGTCAACTTTAACGGCCTATATCTCGAGGTAGAAGCCTCGAATCGACTCACAGTTGGTTTCATTAGAATCCTTATCAAATTTGGCTATAGAAAAGTGAAATTTGTTTTGTTGAACCTGTAAGGACATAAAGAAAAACGGCGCCAAAGTTGACCTACTTACTTTAAAGTCATCCAAGGCTTCAATAATCAATGCGATTCAAAATCTTTATGCATTATTTTATAGGGTAGATTCAGTGCTTTCAAATAGTATACAACACTTATTGGTTAAGGCTTGCAATCTTTTTATTTTTGGAAAGATTGTGTGAACGTTGGTTTCATTCCCATCACCCTAATAATTTAGCCTGAATCTAATTTTTCAGCAAAACTAATCCCGTTTGAGTTTTGGTATAAATATTAAATAATGTATATCCTTGATATAATGGAAAAATTTCAATCGAAAAGTTTCGTGGAAGCGATAGTTGTCACCAGGCGTAGATACCCAGGTTTAGACTCGACTTGCGGTTACTTTTTAACACCCAAATCCCCAATAATCAATGCAATTCAAAATCTTTATGCACTATTTTGTAGAGGAGATTCAGGGCTTTCAAATAGTATCAAATTTTTTTAACTTCCTCTTAACTCACCCTTCTCCTCACAATTTCCCCATTCCCATCCAATCGTCGCCTGATCGAACAGGCCAATTCCAAGAAACCGATCATTTAAGTGAAGAAATTGTTGAAAAAGTAGAAAAAGTATAGCTGGAATAGTTAGAATAGTTAGTTAGAATAAAATCTAACTCTAAAAGTTTGATGTTAAGAAAATGAGATGAATTTCAAGAGAACCAAAAATAATCTTGTGGCACTGTGGCACTGAACTGATTCTTTAACAATTCGCTTGTTCTTTAGGGTGTAGTTTGTGCTGATTTCTTGTAAACACACCCCTCCTAATGCACTTGATTCATTTTTCTCACAGAAACACTAGAAACTGAAGAATTGAGTGCACTAGAAAGTGTGCATTTACAAATATTGGGTTGTTCAGTTATGAATGCGCGTTTTTACTATTTTGATATCGATATCGAACAGATGTATATGAGTGTTATATATCATTCGAAAGCTGAAGATCTCCTCTACATTTTGATATAAAAAGTTTTTGAATTTGTTCAGCTTTTGGGCAAATTGACTGCACGAAAGAAGAGATGGCCAAAAAATGGAAGGGTGCCTTCGGATCAAGTTTTGGCTCCGCTCAAATTGAGTTAACCGTTTAATGTTTGACCAATAGATATATCAATACAACTTTTGTTTTAAATATAACAATTTCAGAGCACCTTTACTTTTCTTTTCTTTTCTGGGCGGTTATTTTACAGCATAAAACTTGAAGAATAGCTAAGCTGAAATGGGTTTTTTTGGAAAACGACCCCTCTCTTTGTGCAGTCAATTTCCCAAAAAGTTTAATAAATTAAAAATTTTTTTATTCCAAAATGTAGAGGAGATCTACAGCTTTCGAATAATATATAACACTCACCGTAAATACTGTAATAGTACCCCCCCCCCTCGTACAGTCGCGTAGTCGCAAAAGTTTTTTAGTATTTCATTTTTTCAAAGCGTCCGTACTTTCAAAAAATGCGTTTTTAGTATCAAAAAATAGCTGAAATTCAGGGCTATTTTTTGATATCTAAGCGCGCATTGTAGCATAGACCAATGTCGAGAAAAACGCGTTCAAAGCTAGACTACGCGATGCTCCGCAAAATATAGAGATCTAAAACATACAATTTTTCGAGTTATAGAAATTACTTTAAATAAAAGATATAAACTGTAGATGAATGACATCAAAAATTCATAAAAACATCGATTTTTAAAGTATAAAAATTCGGGATGCAAAGGTAGTTGGGGTTCACTTTTTTTTTCTTCAAAACCACTTTTTCAGTGGTCATAAGCTAAGGTTTCGCAAAATTGATATCACCAACTCCCGATAATCGATAAATACCTACCGTAAATACTGTAATACCCCCCTCGTACAGTCGCGTAGTCGCAAAAGTCGCAAAAGTTTTTTAGTATTTCATTTTTTTGCAAAGCGCCCGTACTTTCAAAAAATGCGTTTTTGGTATCAAAAAATAGCTGAAATTCAGGGCTATTTTTTGATATCTAAACGAGCATTGTAGCATAAACCAGTGTCGAGAAAAACTCGTTCAAAGCTAGACTACGCGATGCTCCGGCCGTCATTATAAAAGGATGACGAGAAAAATGCGTTTAAAGTTAGACTACGTGATGCTCCGTCTTTTGATATCAAAAAAATAGCCCTGAATTTCAGCTATTTTTTGATACCTAAACACGCATTGTAGCATAAACCAGTGTCGAGAAAAACTTGTTCAAAGCTAGACTACGCAACACTCCGCACCGTCATTGGGGGTGGGGTACTATTACAGTATTTACGGCATATACATCTGTTCGATATCGATATCAAAATAGTAAAAACACGCATTCATAACTGGACAACCCAATACAAAGTACGCCAATGGTTCAATTAAGCAAATGATTCAATTACGCAAAATTTAATCAGTAAAAAGTATTTGTTTACTTATTTATCAAAAAAAGCACAAGATTTTTAAGTAAATATTTGGATTACAAGTGAAATTTTTGGTAGAGAAAGGGCAAAACTATCGATAAATGAAAGAAGATAGAAAAAAGGCTTATCTTTATTGTGTTTCGTTTATTTCATCGATGGATTGGAAAAAAGATTGAAAAGAGATTGAAAAGTGATCAGAAAGTGAAGAAAAATGATGAAAAAGAACAAAAAAACAAGAAAAACAACAATAAAAGAACATTTTTCAATTCAAAAATTGTTTTAAAGCTGTTTTAAAGCTGTTTTAAAGCCGTAAGCTAACATTTTACTCAATCAAAAACTTCTTTCTTTTAAGATTTAACTTTTTAAGTCATTTTCTAAACGTTTATACCAGCTTTGGCTACTAAAAACTACTAAAAACTTCAAGTTTTCATCTTAACATGTTTGAGAAATGAAAAATGAAAAAGAAAAGATAAAAACAAATCAATCAGATGAGAGAGTGCAAGTTGGTGATTGAAAAAAAAAGATTCACGAGCTTGTTGATCAAAAGATTTATCTTTTTCTTGATTCAAAGTCTCTTTTTTTTCTTGCTTTTAATGCTAAAATGCGAAAATTCTATTGACAAAAGATAAAAGATGTTTTTTTTTCAAAAAGAACTGGAGAAATTTAATATTTCTTGGGGAATTATTGATGAAATGCCAATGGGAAGTTGGGTTTTGAGTTGGGAAAAGTTCAGAGAAAGCAGATAAGCAAACAAAACAATTAACTCAAGTAAACTCAAGTAAAATTGAGAAAATCAAAGATAAAATCATCGATAAAGTGATATGATTTGGCCTGAGGGTATGCAGTGGGTTAAAGAAAAGAGAGATTGGGTAAAAGAGATTGGAAAGAAAATGGAGAGAGAAAGAAGAAAGAGAAGAGAGAAAGAGAGAAAGAAGAAAGAGAGAAAGAAAGTGAAGAGAGAAAGGAGAAAGAAGAAAGAGAAGAGTGAAAGAAGAAAGAGAAAGAGAGAGGAAAGAGAAGAGAGAAAGAGAAAGAGAAAGAAGAAAGAGAGAAAGAAGAAAGAGAAAGAAGGAAGAGAGGAAGAAAGAGGAAAGAAGTGAAAGGTTTACAGCCACATGGGAGCTCTATGGAGATCCCAACCCTATAGATCTCATAGCTCGTGGATCGTGGATCTCATAGCTCTTGCCTTTTTTCTTTCTTTCTTTATCTCTACTCATTTTCTGTCCAATCTGGAATCTAATCAGTAATTTTCATAATTCAAACCCAGCTAGAAGCTAATTTGTTAATTAAATCCAAAAAAAAAGTCAATAGTCCACAAAAAGCAAAAGAAAAATTTCTGAGCTCTCTTTGAACCAAAAAAAAAAGAGAAGGATGATCGATTGGAGGTCTTTTGAGATCAAAAAAAGACTAAAAAAGCCACGTGACAATGGGAAAAACGGAAAAGCTTGTTTGTTAGATCAAAAAACTTTTCAAGAATAGTAAAAACTTTCCAATGGAAGTTCTCCGGATTTTTCAACTCTTAGATAAAAGATAAAATAGATATTTTATCTTTTATCTAATCTAAAACATATAGAGATTCGACAAAAATCGAATTCTTGAGGAAAGGTTAGAGAAATCGACGGAAATAGGGCGAATTTTGGATAATTAGAATCCTAGGTTGGCCTATCCTAGGTTGGCCTATCCTAGGTTGGCCTATCCTAGGTTGGCCTATCCTAGGTTGGCCTATCCTAGGTTGGCCTATCCTAGGTTGGCCTATCCTAGGTTGGCCTATCCTAGGTTGGCCTATCCTAGGTTGGCCTATCCTAGGTTGGCCTATCCTAGGTTGGCCAAGAATTAATCTCTTGCGGAGAATTGTTGAAAGCTTTTGGAAATGCCGCCACAACAGCAAATGGAAATTCGAGCAGATTTTTGAGTAAATAAAGCCAAAGCAAAAAGTAAGCATTTTCTTTAGGGAAAACTCATTCGAATCGAGTTCGACGTGGACGAGAAAATGCACTCGGCATCAGTGGAATGCTGTTTGGAATCAATTTTAGAAATTTCATCAATTATTCCTTAGATTTACTTGAGAAATCGCGAGTTCTAACCTACCGTAAATACTGTAATAGTACCCCACCCCCATAATGACGGCCGGAGCATCGCGTAGTCTAGCTTTGAACGAGTTTTTCTCGACACTGGTTGATGCTATAATGCGCGCTTAGGTATCAAAAAATAGCACTGAATGTCAGCTATTTTTTGATAACAAAGACGGAGCATCACGTAGTCTAACTTTAAACGCATTTTTCTCGTCATCGTTTTATCATGACGGCCGGAGCATCGCGTAGTCTAGCTTTGAACGAGTTTTTCTCGACACTGGTTTAATTGGAACCGTATTGGAACCGTATTGGAATCGTATTGGAACCGTATTGGAACCGTATTAGATCAAAAAAGAACTGTATTGGAACCGTATTGGAACCGTATTGAATCAAAAAAAGAACCGTATTGGAATCGTATTGGAACCGTATTGGAACCGTATTAGATCAAAAAAGAACCGTATTGGAACCGTATTGGATCAAAAAAGAACCGTATTAGATCAAAAAAAGAACCTACAATGCGCGCTTAGATATCAAAAAATAGCCCTGAATTTCAGCTATTTTTTGATACTAAAAACGCATTTTTTGAAAGTACGGACGCTTTGAAAAAAATGAAATACTAAAAAAACTTTTGCGACTACACGACTGTACGAGGGGGGTAGGGTACTATTACAGTATTTAGGTTTCTAATTTCAAGCATCTCCCTTTCCATTTCAAATCAATAATCCCGAATCGTGGATTTTGGCAGAGAGATGGGAAATGAAAAAGAAAATTTTCTCTTTCCTTCAAAAAGTGATCGCAATAAATTTGCTCAAAAAGAGAAAGATCTACAAAAAAAATTCACGAAGAAAGAAAGTTGTTAATGGAAAGAAATGAGAAAAAAAGTACACGAATCGAACTTTTGAAAAATTTACAAAAATCTGGACTTCTAGTTGCTCTTTTAAACAAAGTTTCATTTAAAACTTTCCTTTTCTTAAAAATCTTTTTCGACTAAACTCGAGGCTTTTGGCGACCAGGCGTGGCTCTTTTATCTTGCATCCCGAATCTGCTTTCTCTAAATCCCCTAGAGCTTTTTTCGTAGATCGTGTGACTAAAGTTTGGAATGCCCTTCCCGACAAGTTGTGTTTGATCTCCACCGTGTCTGATTTTAAAAGGGCTATTTCGTTGCATTCTAAGTGACTTTGTCATCTTTTATCTAGTACATTTTTCATGTCGTTTTCGCACTTTATTTCTTTCTGAATAAAGTATTTATATTTTCAAAAAATAGACGAGTCCCACGGGAATCTCCTAAGTCAAAGGCGCTATTTTTTTGTCTAATTTTACGATAAGATCAAAGATTTAGACAAAAATATTATTGGGTTGGGGAGAATGAGTCGGCGCCAAACTTTAAAGGGACTTTTTGCACACATAAAGCCTTCTTTAAACATACGTTTGGTTTCATCAAAAGGATCCACTATTTCTCTACAAATAATGACTTTTGAGAGATTCCACAAAGCTTTTGTTTCGTGGAGTTTATTGAACTTCGAAACGCAGCTGGTTAAAATGGCAAAGAGCCCGACTCATCATTTGAACAGTTTCTTTCACATAAACCTTCTTTGGTGTTTATATAAAAAAGATAGAGCACATTCAATTACTTAAGTTGCCAAATTTGCAGGAAGATCCCACCAATGGTTTTTGCTAGATCACAGTTTGTAGTTTTTGTGAAAAAATGGCTTTTTCTTGAGCGGAGGCGCTGTTTGAATTTTCTTTTAAATGTCATTTTGTAGAGAATTAGTTAACCATTCTACTCATATCAAACGCATATTATTTGACGAAGTCGAATTGAAGTTTTAGACATTTTTTTGATTTTCGGCGCCGACTCATTCTCCCCAACCTAATAGATTCAGGCTAAATTATTAGGGTGATGGGAATGAAACCAACGTTCACACAATCTTTCCAAAAATAAAAAGCTTGCAAGCCTAAACCAAAAAGTGTTGTATACTATTTGAAAGCCCTGAATCTACTCTATAAAATAATGCATAAAGATTTTGAATCGCATTGATTATTGGGGAATTGAGTGACTTTTAATTTGAAAAGTTAAAAATGATCATTTTCTGAAAAATGTGTTTCAAAAATGATCATTCTCGGGTTTTCCACTAGAAATTAGAAATTAGAATACGTTAGAATGCCACCAATTAAAGCTATTTCAAAATAACATAAAAGAAAAGAACTCCTTTTGTTTTTTTTCGTTTTCTAGAGGTAAATCTTTGTTTAAAAGCCCAATTTTAGGCCAAGTACGGCCAAAAATGGCTACTTTCAAATTTGGATTCTTATATATCGATAGAATCTCAGTTGCTTGTTTAAGTTTTAGTCTAAATATTGAGTAATGTATATTCTTAATATACTGGAAAAATTTCAAGCGAAAAGTTCCGTGGAAGCGATAGTTGTCACCAGGCGTAGATACCCAGGTTTAGACTCGACTTGCGGTTACTTTTTAATACCCAAGTCCCCCATAATCAATCCAATTCTAATTTTTTTTCCACTATTTTATAGAGTAGATTCAGGGCTTTCGAACAGTATACAACACTTATTCGTTGAGGCTTACAATCTTTATATTTTTGGAAAGATATGTGAGCTAGCTCTGGTTTCATTCCCCATCACCCAAATCGATTCAGGCTAAATTAGTATTCTTGGTAAATATGGGCTTTCGTGGTGTACTTTATGCTTAAATCTGTAAACGCACATCTTCTGGTGCAATGGTTTGGAAGATGAAGAATCGAGTGCGCTGAAAGGGGTTTACAAAGCACACAAGAACGAAAAAATTAAAATTAAATCAAAGTAAAAGTTGAGAACTTGTAGGAATAGAAAAAAAAATGGGTTAATTTAACCCATTTTTTTGCTTCTTTTTAGCTTCTTTCTAGCGAGAAATGTTTTGTGATTCGGGAGATTTCATCAAAGAATGACGGAAAAAAAGGGGGAGATAGACACATTTCATTTTAAACCAAAAAAAAAAGAAAGAAAGGGAAGAATTTCTTGGGGAATTCCTCAAAGAGAGATCTAGAAGCAAAAAAAAAACTGAAGAGACAATGATTGTGAAGGTCGAAGAAGGTCGGCGAAGCTAAAGAAAACATTCTTTATCTTATCAATTTAAAATCTTACCTATAAAAGCGAATCCAATCTCTTCGGTTTCCATCAAAATCAAATCCAACCTCTTCGGCTTCGGTTTGCGAGACTCAGTCAATGAAACCCGAATCCAAAATGTTGACCACTATATGGTTAAAACAATACAATGTTTTGGCGTCACAAGTTTCCATTTGTGTTCTCAACCATCAACCTCTCTCTGTCCGCAATGATTCTCATGTGGTAGGTGCATAAAAATTGCATAAAAAGCCGTCTTATTCAATCCGTACTTGGCTTGAATTAAATTATTCGTGTATTTTCCTCCTCGTTTATCCGGAAGCTGATCAAAACAACGCTGCGTACAAACAGCGCCGGTCAAAATAATGTTTTTTCTTTTTTATTCTTTTCCATTTTTCTTTCAATCCAATTCAATTCTAGTTAATCGGCTCTAGTTAATTTTAGAAATTTCAACTCTGCTATTAGTGGACTATTTTCAATATGAGGCTATGATAAAATTTCTGAAATTAAATAGAGCCAACTCATTTTTTTGGATTCAAGGACATTAGCAATAACAATAAGAAAACAAAGGCAAATATAATATCACAGCCGATAAACCAGTTTGACTTTCAAAACAATCACAAGAAAATCACGAATTAACAACACCTAGCAATGTTTTTTGTGACTAGAAGAAAATGATCGGTGATATTCATCATAAAGCATTAAAATCGTAACAAATAAATAAAGGACAATGAAATGGCAACAAGAATAAAAGGCATTGATTGATGGAAAAAGATACGGAAGTGTTGACGGTGGAGGGATGAGTGCTTCAATCAGACAGATCGCAAAAGCCCCCAATTGTGACAGTGCAGCTAGCCATGTGAACTGAAATAAAGGGATCAAGGTTGTTAAAATCAAGCTGACTTTTGAAACTTTCCGGGGTTTTTCAAGCTAAAAAACTCTAGACCAAATAGGTAGTTAAACACTCACAATTCCATATCCTCGTTGAAAGAACATAAACGCCGTCAATGTATGTGCAACGAAGAGACAAAGAAGCAGAGGATTCTCATCTTTCAGACACAATGAATACATACTAAAAGATGTGGATTAAAAAAAGTTCAAGAAACTTCTTACCTTGTACTGCTAATTGTCAGGAACCATGATATGTGAAAAGGCATGTCCATGAATAAAAGTAGAGCGGCTCTAAAAAGAAGGTAATTCAATAGCAAATCATTTCAAAACTTACCCAACAGGCAATAGGATGCTCTTCTCATGCACTTGAAACGAGAAGAGAAAAAATGACAGTGAGACGGCAACAAGTGAGAGACGAAGGTTCTTGGGTGACGGCCGAACGAGAAGGACGAGAAGCGATGGCAGTGAAGCGGCAATTACAACGAGAGTACTGAAAATAAAGAATTAAAGCTTTTAGGATGAAATTGGGGGAAAAAAGTAGGCATTTTTGCTAACAAATACCTCAATCGAATTTGCCATTCCCGATCCAAATATCGATCCAGTTTGATGAAAGGTGAAAAAGCACACCAGAAGCTTGCTACTTTATCCTAGAATACACTATTAATTGTAGAAGAAAAAAACCTACTTCATATAATCCTCTAGAGAAAGGGAAAACTCGTCGCAACACAGCAAGTACATGATCGGGGCCTTGTAGAAGAAACGGGAGCCAAATCAACGCAAAAAGCCCGATTACAAGAAGGCCAATTTTCAGTAGTTCGAGAAAACTAGAAAATGTCTTCATAAGATGAATAAAAGATAATAAATCCATCAACCAGGACTGTTAGCTACCAATAAAAGCAAAATTTCAAGCTCCAACCTCTCTTTCCATCTCAAAAGCAACGGTTTCTTTAATGATCGCGCCAATATGAACACAAAAATCGGTAACGAATGGTAGAGTTCCATCTAAATTTGTTGTATCATATAAAATTCGCTATTTAAATGCCAACTTGCTTATAATTCACGGCTAAAACGAAGAAAATTGATCCAAGAGGCATTTTGTCTTTGGCCAAGAATAAGTATGACCAGAGAAAGAAGCCCAACGAGATCGCATTGTATCTAAAAATAAATAAGATAAGGAAATTAGGTAAATGAAACTCACTGAAAATGGGCGTTGTCGATTGCTAGAAGCCCTGGATACAGAAGCAAAGTAGCCAGCGGTATCAACTAAATTTAAAATTTAGTTTGAGCAGGGCTTTATTTAGGATTAAAGTATGATTTAGGCATACCTTATTCGTCAAGCTTTTATCCTTATAGATAGAATGAACAATCGCCGGCACGTAGATGATCAGAAACGAGACGATCGCCGTCAATCGCATAAAGAATTTGTGTTCGGGCGTCTCGATTCCGTGTGAGTCCCCCAGCGCCACCCATGAGGAATTTATTCGATGAGCTCTAGAATTGATAAATTGCTAATTTAAAATGGTATAAGCCATTAGTCTACAAATTTTAAGCTTTTAAAGCCAATTTCATTCAATTCAGCTGCCCAGGCTTGTTAGTATTGTATTAAGAGTAGTACCGGTAATGTTTTGTACTATGTATTAGTACTAAAACAGCTTTCCTGATACTTGGGCAAGATTTTACACTATACTAAACAAATACCACTTACATAGCTCCCATCAAATAACTGTGATACGCAGTTAACGGCGGGTAGTCGAGCCCCCAATAGAGTAGATCGTTATTCGGCGATTGGATGTACCTGAAATCAATAAAGATCTTTAATCTATTGGATCAATGCATATTAAATGGCTAATCCATGCAAATTTCACCACCAGAGCAGCTATCTAATTTCTGTTTGGTTAGAATGAAAAGTTATAATCTTAAGCTAATAACAGCGGGGCAACTTTTTTTATTTGACATGAAATGATGAAGGAACTTTTCGATCATTGGAGTCAACTCAACTTTGATGTTCTTTTCAGCCAAAGTTCTATTAGCTCGATATTTTTTTAATCAACATGGTTCTATTCAAAGATTTCAGTGAATGTTTGTTAAGTTTTGAAAATAATTTGAAGCTATAAACCCTGGGATTTCCTAACGAATTAGTTTTTTATTGAAAACGCTCATGAAAATCATGATTGTTTGATTATTTGGTCCACAGCTGGAAACTTTGGTCAAAAAGCTCATTATTGCATAACTTTTCACTAGCAACTCATAAAAGAACTTTTTGGAATCTGGTTGAAATCTGGTGGAAAAAGAATTTGGTTTGGAAAATCTGAAAAAATTTAGCCATATCATATGCATTGAGCCAACAAACCATTCTTTCATCGGCAAATAATAAGTGATTTCCATCCAATGTCGTTGCGCCTCATAATCTCCGAACATTGGCGGTTTGTTGAAACCTGAATACAGCAAATCAGTTTTAAATTCGAATGCTAGTTTTCATTCTATTTAATGAAATGTTGGTTTCCTAGATTCTATTTATTTCATTCATTTTATTTATCTCATAGCTTAGAGCTGAAACTGTGCAGAAAAGCGATTTGGCAAAAACAAAAACAATTAGATAGCTAATCTTTTATCTAAACTTCTTGCTACGCTCTTTAACCAGCTTTGCTATAACGGCGATTCTAGGATAGAGCCGTTATACCTTTTTATCTCAGTCAACCTATGCATTTGCAAGCTTACACACAAAAAATTACCTGAATAGCCACCCGTAGCAAGCCCGTGTTGAATGGCAAGTAATGTGCAGACAACAACGGCCACTTCTAACCAAGCTATTTCACCTAAAGTTGCTCAAATTAATCATCAAAACCCCTTAAGACCATACCCGAATCATCCAAATTCTCCTCCCAATCATTTCGTATTCTTACATCTTTCGGTAAATTGTTTTTTCGATCAAATTGCACGAATTCGCCCCTCTTCAGCGGAATTTTCTTCATCTAAAGCTTTAATATAATGATTCAATATAAAAAAGAGCAAAGATAAAAGAAAGGAAAGCGATTACGGGCGGAAAATCTCTTTTTAGCATGGAAAATGTGTGCATGGTTTAGTTAAGTAGTTCAATGTCATTCTGAAATGTGAAGTCAAACTTTAACAAATGAGCCACTTCAAGCAGATATAATTTCAAATCTTGAATTTTTGATTAAACAAGAATTTAACAAAAAAATTTATTTTAGCTTGAATAAAGCATCACCAAACAGAACACATGAAAAATAATCATCATTGCCTGACGTTGATGAGATGATAATTGGAAACGGGCAACTAAAAATGAAAAAAGTTGATTGATTGTCGTGATGGAAGTTGCAATTTAGATTATCTAATCTCAAAATTTCAATAATTCTTAATACAAATCTTATTTAAAGCAACCTAAACGATTTATTTACCTTTCTATGTTCTATACTTTTGTATTAATAATCATAAAGGGTTGTAAGAAAGAATATGATCATAATGAAAGTCAATTATACAATGATAACTAGCTGTTACAATCAAAACAACTAACCTTAATCATAGTTGCCATACATAACCTTCACGCACAAGGCCGATCGTCAATGGACTTAGAAGGACAAGGTTTGCTAATTCAATGTACAAATCCACTTCACATACATCCAGATATTGCTGGGCCCGTTGAGGCTTTCCCTTAAAATTAGAGAAATGAAAACCAATTTCAGTCAGATTAAGGATCTATTGAAATATGATCATAATAACCTGAAGTATAACTCCTGGAATCAGTAACGCCCAGGCGTTGCTGCGTGGATCGACGTTTTTTCCTTTTGTGCAACGACGCGGAGCATTAGCAGCTGGGTGAGCGAATCGTAAAGTCTTGCCCGCAACAGCGATCTCAATATGTCCTGGAGTCACATTCACGTGAGTGTAATCCTCAAGAATGCTGTACCTTGGATTCATCGTGCGGCTGAAAATTAGTTTTATTCTACATAGCCAATAAGTAAAGCAACTAAAAGAATTCCGATAAAATGAAGTAAAATAAGTTAAGTTGACATAGAGAAATTCCTGGAAGCCTTTATTCAATGTAACTTAAATATAACCAACATTTGTTCATCCGAATTCTCATGGTCCTGAACATCGGAATCGTTTTCATCCTCGAAATCGTTTTCATCCTCGACATCCTCATCAACTTCTGAGTCGACAGGAGGTAGAATTAACTAAAATTTAATCAATTGATGAGTTATTATCGTTGATTCTTTGTAAACTGATAGTTAAGTCAAAGATTCTGAAAATCTGGAGAATTGAATAATTGACACAATAATATGAATCAACCTTCGTAAGGATATAATCGCGAACAAAAATCACCTGTTGGTAGTGTGGAAGATTTCCGATTTTGGTTATAAAAACGCCAAACTTCCTGGCATCGGTAAATTCAACGCATAGAGCAACAGAAGGAAGTTCAAACCAAGAGTCATCATCTTTAGCCTAAAGGTAAATAGATCAATAACATCTCCGCAATCTCTCCTTATCACAAAGTATTCGGTTTCCTAGTTTTGATTTTATAAAAATTTAATCGAGCCTGAAATGAAAATGACCAACCTGTAACAACATTTCAGCCAATGTAATCTGGATCTTTCCAATTGGTTTCATCGAAAATTTGCGAAGGTCCCGTTTATCCGGGTAACCAAAACGAAAAAGCTTGGTTCTATAACCCAGCTCCACATAATTTGGCGTCACTTCAAGTGAATCGAAGTCTTCGAAGAAACAGAGTTGAGTTTCCATGTTGCGCTAAATAAAATGAATATTAGAATGAGAAATCCAGATACCATGAAAAAGAATCCACGAAAAGTTTAAACAAAAACATAATAAAAGTAGATGATTAAAGTGCACTGAAAATTAAAGGAAAGTTGACGCAAATGAAAAATGCTTAATAAAAAGGAAGTTTTATCCCCACCACCATCTATTTTTTTCTAGTTTGTACTTGCTATTTTGCAGGTATAAAAGCTCTTAATATCGATAATTTTAAGGGAAAACTGCAGTTCTTCTTTTTTGAGTAAAACGCTTTGGCTTTTTGGCTCAGTATCATAGTTGTTTGAAAAGAAAAATAATTTTACATTTAGTATTCTGATCAATAACTGATTTATTATACATCAATACATAAGATCTGTATGCGTTTTTGACGATATTACTCTATTTACAGTTTACTTGGGTAGAAATTGAATTAACTTCGCAATTAGATTAAAGACGCATTTTAAAACAATAAACTAATCGAAATTCTATTGTTTTTTTAACTTTTTTCTGTTGTGTTGAGTGTTTTTAGCCAAAATTTGATATATTGTGAATGAATTTTTTCTTTGGCTCATTACTTTGAGTAGTTTGAGAATCGTGAATATTTAGATCAAAATATTTTCTTCAATGGCACCCAACTCGAGTCCGGTCCATTGCAAAAGTACGAATTGAAGAATGGTGATACCGTCACTTTGGTCATTTAATATTTTATTTTACATTTGCATTTTACGACTTTTAACTTTGTACTCGTGTGACTAGACTTGCTTATCGATATTACCTATACAAACGGTATGCTCGTGTTTGACCGTTCAGATCTCCGTTTCTAGAACAACTATCAATCTGAGAACTGTTTCATTGGAAAATCAAGAATGTCAGCTTTGATTGCTATTTTATACATAGCGACTTTTAATGAGTAAGCACCTCATAAACCTTATCGATAAGGTTTATGAGGTGCTTATCTCTATCGAGGCTTATCGATCTTTGAGTATCGATGTATTGATAAGCTTTTTAAGGCACTCACCTATGAGAAATTGCTATGTGTGAGATCGCAATCAAAAGCTGACATTCTTGACTTTCCAAAGAAACAATTTGCAGATTGATAGCTATCCTAGAAACCGAGATCTAAACGGTCGAACATGAGCATGCCGTTTGTATCGATAATATCGATAAGCAAGTCTACTCGCAATTGATCGGTTTGTCACTTCCTATTTTTTTCATTTTATTTTGATGTTTAACCGCTCAAATTCACTCTATTGTAAATTAGAAATCAAAAAATTACTAGCAATTGGCTCGGCTTGTCACTTCAAACGCGAAACAGAATGACAAAAATTTTAAAAATGACTTAAACCAGCGCATTTTATAGGCGAAAAAGATTGTCCAGGTGTCGGTGTCGGTGCCAGGTGTCGAGAGTACGGTATTTTTGGTGCACTTTAGGCTTTAGTGAAAAACCGTAGTCTTTAGTTTTCTGTGACTTTAGTCACACTTTAGAAAACTCGGAAAAAAACAAAAAAGTTTTATTATTATATTTTGAATATGTACAGTTGCCTTATTTTCTATGCATTGATCAGTCTGGTTTTGTTTAGGCTAAGGTTTAGGCTTAGGCTTGGACTTAGTGCGAAGGCTAGCGACAAGCGCCTAGCACTGAGTCTATTTGGGTTTGGGCTAAACCCCCATTTTCTGGATCTCAGCCAGTTCTCGGAGCTAAGGGACACCCGCTTGGCGATGCTCATCCGCTCCCCCATAGGAGCATCCTGGCAAATTTTCAGATAGTTGTCGTGTCTGGAAGTTGAGATATAGAAATTAGGCTTAGGCTTAGGCTTAAGACGAATTTAGCCATTGGCTCGTATACGGTAACCTAATGTGCCTCTTAGAAAACATTCTAGACTACCGTAATCCGTCTTACTGTAGTCTAAAAGGTACTACAGTAGCTTTCCCTAAAAATAGTTGCCTTTTCGAAGAAAAAGGTCAAATCAACAAAACTTTCTCATTCAACAGACAGGTCCAAATTTAATAAAAGTTTCACCCAATTTCTCCCATTTTCTCTCAAATTTCTCCACAAAATTCCCCTTTGTTTTCTCTTTTTTTCATCGTATCCTTGAACAACTTGACAAAATAAAATCCCCGAAAAAAAAAATGATCAAAAACGTTAGCTGAATATCTCATGATATCCATTCCAATATCAAATCTTTTAGCTTTTTCGCAAAAAAAAATTTGATTTTCAGTATTTAAGGGATGAAAGCAAGAAAATTTAGCACTTTTCCCTCATTTGAATCGTTTTTTTTTTCGAAATTTTTCTTATTTTCTCATTTTTCGGTGGATCTTTGGTGTACAAGTGGGAAAAGTGGCGTTTTAGCTGGTGAAAGTTTCAAGTTTTTGAAGCTTTTAAGCTATTGAAGCTTTAAGCTATTAAAATTTGCATTCATAAAGTTACTTTAGCAAACTATCGTAATTCCTATTAGAGGTTTTCAAGGAGTACTTTGCAAAGTAGCTTTTTAAGCTTTTCATGTTATCGAGCACCAACTTTTAGATGTACTTTGTGCTTACTTCTAAACGAATGCGTTTAGTGCACTAGATGCACTTTGTGCTCATTTCTAAACTTCTAAACGCTTCTAAACGCATGCTTCTAGTGCACTAGATGTACTTTGTGCTCACCTGTAAACGCATGCTTCTAGTGCACTAGATGTACTTTGTGCTCACTTGTAAACGCATGCTTCTAGTGCACTAGATGTACTTTGTGCTCACTTGTAAACGCATGCTTCTAGTGCACTGGGTGCTTTGTGCACTTGTAAAGCATGCTCTAGTGCACTAGATGTACTTTGTGCTGGGGCCCCCGCGTCCCTTTCCCCCCCCCCCGCTTTCCTTTGTTGCGGGGCACCTGTAAACCCATGCTTCTAGTGCACTAGATGTACTTTGTGCCCACTTGTAAACGCATGCTTCTAGTGCACTAGATGTACTTTGTGCCCACTTGTAAACGCATGCTTCTAGTGCACTAGATCCTTCTTTTCTCGACAGAAATGCTTCAAATTCAGTTGAAATGAAGAATTGAGTGCACTAGAAGAAGTGCGTTTTCAAGCACAAAGTACAAGAATAGAGTTTGTTTACAATAAACAAAAACAAGAACGATTTGCCCTTTCTCCCCACAACTTTCCATCAATCGCCTAAAACACAAAAAAATTCGTCATAATCAAAAAGATCTTCATTATTTTTATTTTTCTCAAATTTTGTCTGTAAACTTTTTTCATTTTTCCTGAAAAGGAGAAATTTTTGAGAGAAAGAGAGAGAGAGAGAATTTTCTTTTTGACTTCTTTTTTTCTTTTTTTTTTCAAATTTTTCTTTTCCCCGACAGAAAACTTGTTTATTTTTTTCGTTAAAATTACACTGAAAAGTATAAAAATTGAAAAATTTACCCGACAAAATAATTCTTTGAGATTTGAGATGAGAACCGGTTTTTTGGCGAATCGTTTTTCTTTATATCGAATCAAATTTTGATCGCCTAATTTTACTGGAAAACGCCAGACGACTCAAATTTCATATTTTAGAGTACTGTACTGGCGTAATGCGTTTCGATTCTAAAGCTACAGTACTTTTCAAATGAAAATATTCCCTTTGTAAATGGCTTTTCTAATGTTTTCTTTTAGATAGGGCTTACGAAAAAGCTCTGTCCGTGTTTTCTTCAGACCGAAATCCTACTCCTAAAGCCTGCTTTTCTATCATTGTTGAAAACGATCGTATTCTATAATTTACCGTAATCTACCGTAATCTACCGTATCTACCGTAATCTGACCTACCGTACCTGTGGCTTAAAGTAGAGTTACCGTAATCCCTGTATCTCTGTATCGTAATCTCTGTATTGTATGCTTAAACGCATCCTTTCTGGTTCACTAAATTCTTCTATAAAGCTTAGTTTCACAAGAAAAATGAAGAATTCAGTGCACTAGAAGAATTGCGTTGACAAAATTACACAAAGTACACTTTAAAGTTCAAAGTTGGGCCCAAAATAGGCTTCCTAATAGGAGTTGACTCTATATGTAGCTTTGGTTTGCCAGAACGCTAGCGTTTACTCGTCTCTTATTCTTTGAGCGTACTTTGTGCTTTCTTGGCATTCTTGAAAAACACGCCTTCTAGTGCACTGAATTCAGTTTCTATTGACAACAAATCATTGCAGAAAAATAGAGAACCCAATGCACTAGAGGGGACGCGTTTAAGCACAAAGAGGTAGCAATTGGCTCTCTAACTGTAGCTCTATCTGTAGCTCCATCTATAGTTCTCTATCCGTAGCTCTCTATCGTTAGCTCTCTATCTGTAGCTCCATCTGTAGCTCTATCTATAGCTCGCTCTATCCGTAGCTCTCTATCTATAGCTCGCTCTATCTATAGCTCTATCGATAGCTCTCTATCTGTAGCTCTATCTGTAGCTCTATCTGTAACTCTATCTGTAGCTTCGGTAAGCCTGTAAGATTACTGCACCTGTAATCTGATTCCGATTACTGTATCTGTAATCGGCTTCAGTAATCCCATTGTTATTTGCTTGATCCCAAGTTTGACAATAGCTCTATAAAGTTTCTTTCTCCATAAAAGGATTAAACTCTCCAGTCTACTTTTTCTGTTAACCTTGAACTTGTAATCGCTTTTTCTGTAATCGAATTCTCAATTTTTCAATCGTTTCACTTTTTGGCTTTGAAAAAAAGAGACAAATTTCAGGATTTAACACCAACCACTGAACAGAATATTTTTATTTTCTCAAGAATGTTTCGATTACTCTTCCTCTGTTCTTTTCTTGTCTATTCAATGGCACAAATGCAACAACAATGCACATGTGGACAGGTGAATAAAATAGTGCATTTCTTTCCTAGAACTTCTCTAAACTATCGTAAATTTGGTTATTTATATCCACTTTTGTCTGATTCTATCACAGTTCACAAAACGTTCACAAAAAGGATATAAAAAGTGGTTAAAATAGATTGGTAGCTTTAAAATAGATTGTTAGCTTTAAAGTAGAGCTACCGTAATCCCTGTATCTCTGTATTGTATGCTTAAAAGCATCCTTTCCGGTCCACTTAATTCTTCTAAATAATTCTTCTATACAATGCACTAGTAATGGTGTGTTTAGGGATTTTAAGCACAAAGTACTCATCCCAATGAACGCATCACAATGAACACATCAAAAAGAAATGCTAAGTATTCAATTTTAGGTGGAACCATGCAAACGTGGAGCTGAGAATCAAGTGATGGGATGTGCGGATAGTTGCCAGGTGAAAATCTAGAAATTTTAGAAAATTAGAAAGCCAGGCCAGTCCAGACCAGCCTAAAAGTTTTAGAAAAATGATCAAACATCTAACTGGTTGAAAATCAAACAAAGAAACAAAGAAACAAACAAAACAAACAAAATCTAGCTGTCTAGAAGCAAAGTTTCTAGAAAGCTAGAAACAAAGAAACAAAAAAACAAACAAACGAGTCAAATCCGAAGCAGGGATATAAATCAAGGCAGAAGAAGACACTCTAGAGGCCAGAAGACACTCTAGAGGACGACCAATAGCTTCTACAAGTTCCAATAGTTCTATTCCACTGGACCAGGCTTAGGCTTAGGCTTAGGCTTAGGCTTAGGCTGAGGCTAAGGCTTGGGCTTAGGCTTAGGCTTAGGCTAAGGCTTGGACTTAGTGCGAAGGCTAACGGCTAGCGCCTTAGCACTAAGTCCAAGCCTTAGCCTAAGTCTATTTGGGTTTGGGTTGAACCCCCATTTTCTGGATCTCAGCCAGTTCCCGGAGCTAAGGGACAACCGATTGACCTTGTGCTTTGGAACCCAAGGGGGTATGCTTCAGGTCACTCTCGTGTCTAGAAGTTGAGATATAAAAAGTCGATTTTACGATTAGGCTTAGGTCTGGCCCAGAGAATTTACTTTTCCAAAAACCCAGCAAGACTTGTAGCTAACTATTGTAGAGTTTTGTCTTATTGTAGAACGCTAAATAATATAGAATTATTGTAGAGACACGTCTCCGGCATGGGCGCTCCATACTCATCGATTCGCGCATGCATCATGCAAAAGCAACCAATGATCAACTCGGTGGCACAATGTCAACAAAGAAGTCTCGCCAATACGTGAGTAGAGAAAATGAGCATAATAGATGGAACTCTTTTGACGTAAACATCTTTCAATCGATACGACCTTCAAATTTCAATCGATACGACTCATTTGTTTAGTTGCGCGGCTCGACCAGGTGGATTGGTCCCAAAGAGATATCCGGAGACACTTAAATTGGCTGCTTTCAACGAAGTGAACAATATGTTGAGGAGAAGTGGTAAGAAGAATAGTTTATGATAGGTTACAAGGAAGATCAGAAGCCAGAAGAGTGAACAAAGGCTAGCCTAGGGCAGACCAGGCCAATCCAGACCAGGTCAGGCCAGACCAGACCAGTCCAGGCCAGTCCAGACCAGGCCAGGCCAATCCAGACCAGTCCAGACCAGGCCAGGCCAGTCCAGACCAGTCCAGACCAGGCCAATCCAGACCAGGCCAGTCCAGACCAGGTCATGCCTGGTTCTAGATCTGGAAAATTCCAATCCAAACCTAATTCCATCTTAGTTTTCTTGGCCGTTTCTTAGGCAATTACTCTAAAATTTGTCTACAAGCTGGCATCTATCTGTAGACAAAATTTCAGAGCAATCGGCCAAGAAAACAAAGGTGGAATTAGGTTCGAATTGGAACTTTCTCATGTCTATCAGATCCAGACTTGGCTTTTGCCCAAAGCAAGAACTTTTTGCAAGCCAGACCAGCTCGATTGGACCTAGCTTGGATAAATTAACTTTACAACAATCAGTTAGGTCTAAGCTGGCTAAAAATCCTAACAATCCAAACTGGCTTCTGATCAACTCAAAGACTTTTTGCTTGCCAAGCCTGATTGAAATCTAGTTTCTGAGCAACCCAATTTGAACCAGATCAGCTCAGGACTTACCGTAAATACTCTAATAGAACGCCAGCCACAAAATGACGGGCGTACAACCGCGTAGTCTAACTTTGGCGGTCCCAACTCTAACTTTGGGGTTCTCCGCGTTGCTTTGTGCTACAGTGTGGGCTTTGGTGTCAAATGTTAGCCCTTGAAATCTAGTATTTTTTGGAACCAAAAGTGTAGTACGCGATTGTACGAGGTGGTGGGGGTTTTAGGTGGAATTAGGTTCGAATTGGAACTTTTCTCTAATAGTAGTGCACCCCGCCGAGTTGGTGACTATTTTACGGCTTCCAAAGTTTTCCTAGAGGCTCAGCACTCTAATCATCGTCAAGATCTCATCATCAGCTACATTTTCCGCCCGCACATCGATAGGTTCTGATAAGCGGTTCTCGAGATTTCGAAGCAATTTAAGCAACGAGCGCACTACTCAGAGCGCACTACTATTAGAGAAAATACGACATTTACAATATCTTTCTTGCCTTCAGGTACAGTGTGGGCTTTGGTTTTAAATGATAGTCATATGACTGTCAATGTCAATGACTCAAATGATGTCAAACTCTTCTTTTCAGGTCTTCAAGCCGAAGCTGCTTCATTTATGGCGGTGGGGAAGAAATTCGCTGGTTGTGTGATGAAATGTTTGAATCGAGGACCCGGAGCGTGTTTCAAGAGATTGGGGTGAGTGATTGTAGAAAGATTGGGAAGGGAATGATCAGAAGGATTGACCAAAAGAGGATGATTGATACTTCCCTCAATAGATCTCATGAATATCAATGAAAAAGAATAGCTCTAACTCTACAACGAGAAATGGGGCTGACAAGGGGGGAAAAGGACGTTTTTGACCCCTGAAACTTTCTTTTTGAATCATTATTTTTAAATAAGCTTTTTTTGGTATGTAATAGAAGTTTCTAAAGCTTGAAGAAATAAAATTTGATGCTTATTTTAAAGTTTACAGCTAGAAGGGCTTTGGAATTTGCATTTTGCATAAAAGCATTTTACATTTTAAGTAGTTACTTTTTAAGTTTACTTACTTTTACTAAAGTTTATTGAACTTTTAGGAATGATTATAGGAATATCTATTAATATCTAAAGTTATCTATTAATAAAAGTTTATGAAAAGAAACAAATTCAGATTTATAAGGGAAGATGAATTGGCTGAGCCGGCAAAATGGTATCCAACCGATGCGATTTGACGCAGAATTTCACGCTGATTCCGAGGCTGCTTTCCATTTTTGCTGAACGTTATTCTAGCAGAAGTTATAAGCATCTAAAGTTTTGCTGGGACTCTGAAAATATGGGTTTTTGGGTCTTAGGCGGATTTTGAGTGACCTCAAGTGGCTATAGTCGAGTGGTATTTGGATTTGGTGTGGCTTAGTAGGCTATAGTCGAGTGGTAAAGCGTCTGTATTTGAGACCAAAGATCTCTGGTTCAAATCCCCGTGTCTTGCGTTCTTTGTGTACTCGGACATGGACTGACTCGAACCAGAGATGTTTGATCTTGACGCTCTACCACTCGACTATAGCCTACCTCGACTATAGCCACTCGAGGTCACTCAAAATCCGCCTAAGACCCAAAAACCCATATTTTCAGAGTCCCAGCAAAACTTTAGATGCTTATAACTTCTGTTAGAATAACGTTCAGCAAAAATGGAAAGCAGCCTCGGAATCAGCGTGAAATTCTGCGTCAAATGGTATTGCATGTCATTTAGCCGGCTAAACCAGTTCTTTTGTCAGATTCAGATTGAAACAGATTCAATTCTAGTTGTGGCCTTGCTCTTCCCCCAGATAACATCATCGTTCAACAAACGAAATCGTGTGCAATTAATGCCGGCTTTAACACACAAGGAGTCCAATCGCTTTGTCAATGCGTTGCTGGAGCTGGAGTCAAGTGAGAAGTCTTAAAGTTTTGAAGCAAAGTCTAGAAGCAAAGGTTTAAAGCAAAGGCTTGAAGCAAAGGCTTAAAGGAAAGGCTTGAAGCAAAGTCTAGAAGCAAAGGCTTAAAGCAAAGGTTTAAAGCAAAGGCTTGAATCAAAGGTTTGAAGCAAAGTCTTGAAGTAAAGGCTTGAAGCAAAGGCTTAAAGCAAAGGCTTGAAGCAAAGGTTTAAAGCAAAGTCTAGAATCAAACCCTTAAAGCAAAGTTTTGAAGCAAAGTCTAGAAGCAAAGGCTTGAAGCAAAGGTTTGAATCAAAGTCTTTAATCAAAAGCTTAGAACAAAGTCTTAAATCTTTATCTAAACAGTTTTATAAGCTTAACTGTTATCTTTTAAAACGTTCTTTAATCTTTAATAGATTCAAATATTCAATTCTAGTCGAGAAAATCTCTTCTTTCTTTTCAGATCTTTGGCACCTCTCTGTGGTCGTATCCAGATCACGTAAAATCATCAAAAATTGATTTCATTTTGTAAATATTTGTATTTTCGTCAATTTCTCATCGAAAAATGAAAAATTTATTATTTTTAAAGATTTCAATGATGAAAAAACACGTTTGATTCTTGAAATTTAAAATAAAAGCAAATTTTTTTGAAAAACGACACAAATAATACGAAAATTATGTAGAAAATAAGGTTTTAAACAGGTTTTAGACAGGTTTTAGACAGGTTTTAGACAAGTTTACTGTAGCTATTTGTACAGTAATCACACTTTTTCTTACGATTTATCGAAATGTTCTCTCTCGAAAAGGTATTCACCCATTCCACCGCCGAGTCTCTTCAGATTTGTCACCATTTTTCCGATTTCTTCGATCGATTCAACCTAAGAAATGGTTGTTTTTCGTTTAAAATAATTCGTTTTTTTAAAACATGATCTTTCTACCGTAATCTTGTCTCTTGTCTTTTATCTAATCGCCTAGCTTTTAGGTTTTATTGATTTTCTATCACTAGAAAGATCAATTGCCAACGACAGCATAGCAACAACCTTTTAGAAAAGCATCTGGGAAATGTCTAATTTATTTCAAAAGTCTCAAGTGTTATATAGAGAATTGTATCCCTGATTCTTAGCTACATTTATCTATCAAAAACTTTCTGATTGGATTTATACAACTCATTTAACAAGCTCTTGAATGAGCGCTAGTTTCCGGCGAGTCTTTTGGAACAGTAGTCTCTTCGGTAAATTGTCGTTTCCGCTTAATTTATTTCAAAAGTCTCAAGTGTTATAAGAGAATTTTCCATGTTTCTTGTACATTTATTTCAAAAACTTAGTTGGTCTTAAAACTAACTCATTTAACAAGCATTAAGAGACGCACTTTTGATGAATCTCTTGAACAAATCTCTTCGGTAATCTGTACCCACCCCCATTTTTTGACGGTGCGGAGTGTTTGCATGTAGTCCTTAACTTTGCAAACGAGTGTTTATCTCGACACTGGTTTATGCTACAACGCTCGTTTAGATATCAAAAAAACCCTGAAAATTCAGCCATTTTTTGTCAATACCAAAGACGCCTTATTGGAAGTCAA